ATCAAATTGCTCATACTGAAACTGCGTAGGATAAGGACATGAAGTAGTAACAGTAATAGTAGTAATGTGGGGGATGCAAATTGCCTTAAAATGCATTTGGACCATGTTGGTTACACCAAGGTACACCTCTATTATTTTCTATAAAGAAGATGGTGTGGTAATTTCTTGGCAGGCTTGTCTTAGTCCTACTAGACCTTGTTTGAATAATATCAGAGAGAGAGAGAGAGAGAGAGATGGATTTGAAATTGAAGAGAGTTGATGTTGAAATGACCTAGAATTGGATTGACAATTATTATTATGTCAAGAATAATTTAGGATTCTTATGAATTTTCAATTATGCACATTCTATTGTCTAGTCCAAGAAAGCCATGTCATTGCTTTTCTTGGAAAAGAAACCAATTAATTATAATAGAGAAAAATCAAAGCAAAAGGGTCCAATATATTCGGATTCTATTAACATGAGCGTTCTTCCATGTCCATGTTTGCAAGAAATGAAAGATGTTGGATTAATCGAAGATAAAGTTAGATGATTTACCGCAGATCATGTGTGGTCTGGTTGATCTTCTCAGTTATGTGAGGACTAAAATGTCTTAAATTTGAGTTCTCTCGATCACAAATATTTTCACCAATTTAATAAGTTCAGAGGAAGGCTATTTCTTATTGTGTGGCCCATAGTATTAGCTCAGTTCATGAATTGCGTTTGTAGTTGAATTGGTAATTGTAATTATTGTTTTTATTGCTCATATTTGGACTTGCTCATGATTATAATTGAGTTAGTTATATTCTATTAAAAATAATAAAAATAAATCAATAAAGTGTTCGTTGGATGATAAGTGACTTCACTTTCCGTAAGGGTGAGAATGCAAGTGATAGGAGATTTACACCATTTTATTCTACCAAAACAAAAAATGAATACTTTTACATCAAGAGGACAAAGTTTTGAATTATTTACTTAAATCAAGGGTCATAAATAATGGTTAAAGGAAAAAAAAAAAAAAGAGGGTGATTGGTTTACGTCTTAGGCTAAAATCATAAGACTTGTCTCTTCGTTACAATGTATAGCTTCCGCTATTATTGGTTATTTACTATTAATTTTTAAATTGATATTTTATGTAATCATTTTATTTGAAATTATAAAAAATTTAATTAATATTTTTTTATTTATAAAAATTTAAATTATATTTTTTTATAATAATATCATTAAAAATAAAAATAAAATTATATATATATATTATAGCTTGGATATACAATAGGCTAAATCAAGCTCAATATATAATGAAGTATAAACAAGTTGAATTGTTTTAACTTTTGGATTTAACAAGTACTTGAAAGAAATAAAACAACTTTTGGATACATGCAATAAAAAAAAAAAAAAAAGGTGAAAGAAAATATGGAACAGACCACTCAAAACCAAAATATTCAGTACAATCCTGGCTAAAAAAAACAGCCAAAATTTTTTTTAAGCCTCAAAAAAAAAAAAAAAAAGGTGAAAGAAAATATGGAACAGACCACTCAAACCAAATATCAGTACAATCCTGCTAAAAAAACAGCCAAAATTTTTTAGCCAAAATAAACACAATTGGGTAACCCTAGTCACAACTCAACCCCAGATCTTTATAACTAACCATAAAGTAAAAATAAAAACAAAAAAACAAATAATAACACAATCATAAAGGGAGGAAAAAAAATTAAAAACACATGCAACTGAAATCCACTGCACCTACACCTGTCTCAACACACACCAGGCCCCATCTCTCTTGTTTTCTTTGACATTGTATATAATAAAAAAGAAGTGTAGGCTGCCCATAAGTTGTCACTGAAACTTTTGCAGAGGTATCATCATGACTGAATGTGTGGTGGTGCGTAGGTAAAAAAGCAAAGAGAAAAAAAGAGAGATTAAAGAAACAGTAGCAGTAGTAATAACAACAGCAAGCAAAGGGAAATATTAGCAATGTACAAAAAAGAGAGAAACGCATATTGCCGAGGAAGAGAGAGATCAAGTAAAAAATCTAAGTGGTGGGAAGCATTTAATTAGCTTTGGCCAAAAATAGAGGAGGCTCTTCTGTTCTGTTGCTGCTGCTCTGCTGCTTCTTGCTACTGCCACTGCTCCCTTTGCCTTTTGACTCGAATCTAGTAGTTGGTCATGCCCCCCTCTCTCTGATCTCTCTTTCTCACTCTCTTTTCAATTCTTGAATTGTCCTTCCACTGTCTTAATAAGACAGGTATGTTCCCACAGTTGGCAAGTACATTCACTCCAACTCCTAGTTTTGGTTTATCACTTTCTTTTGTACCTTATCACACGTTATCCCTTCTCTGTGTAAAGAATTCAAGAAACTATCTCCATAAATTTTATTGCCTCTCTTCTTCTTTTAGCTTTTTTTTTATTAATGTTTATGTCCTTGCTTCTTGTGTAGGTGTATAGTCCAATGGTTCTGAATTTAAACTCGTATCTTTCGTTTCTGTATCTAATTCTTGCTTTTTTAATTCCAACTAGATTTGAACTTGGCTAGAGTTATCTATAGAATTTTAACATTTTGAATTGGAATTATAGTATGTCGAATCCAAATTAAGCAAAAAGAAAATCTTAGATATTTTATTTCATGAATGTTACAAAGTTCAGTAAAAATCTCCATGCTCGGGCAGAATGATATTCAGTTAAAGCTTTCGGACAGGAAATAATTGTTATTCTTTCAATTCCTGATCTTGCATGTAAAAATCTGTATCTAGCTCAAAAAGGCGCCCCTCGTTTGTGGAGTACAAGTCTCAACCAACCTGTAACAAAATGATGAAAGAGAACACAAATCCCTAAATCAATTAACCCTCAAGAAAATTTACTAATTAAGCTAACTGCCTCTTACCTTCAGTTTTAGTTTGAATATTGAAAACTTCATTACTGACAATCGGGCTTGGAAAAATCAGATCCATCTGGTATTTCAGAAACTCATTCTTTTTGCACTACCAATACTACATTGAAAGAAAAGGTTCTTTTCGACTACCCAGAAGTCCATGGTGCAATAAAAAATTTAAAAAGGTAGCAACTTTTCTCTTTGCAAAAGTGAGTTTTAAATGCTGTTCCACAAATTGTACAGCAGCAGCAGCAACAAATAAACTTTAACAAGCAGTCAAATTAACTCTGTGCACTGATAAGAAAAGTGGTACTTGCATTTGCGACAAATAAAGAGTCAATTACTGCTTGATAATTTAGAGAAAATTAACCTAGCAAAATTTAATTAGTGAAGTTTCATTACCTACATGCAGCTTCAGTAAACCTAATTCTGGTAACAAAGACGAACTGTTATAATTATAACATTATAGTGCTGATAACAGCTTTTTATTATTATTTGTGATATACATGAAACGGAGGAACATTTAACATATGACCAATTTCAAAGGTTACAACTGAGAAAAATACAGTCTTGCTTGAGGTGCACATGCCACAGCATCCATTTTATAAAAACTGATCTTTTGAATCTGCCAGAGGAGATCAAGATGCATAGAGAGGTTCTGGCTCCACTTTTCTTCTAATCCTGGAGAAGATTTCGAGTAAAAAGTACAAAATGTTTAATACAAAAGCAATTGACAGGCATGGAGGTGCTAAAACGCCATACTTCACAAAATTCAAAATCCCAAAAGAAGTGGCAATGCTAATATAATGTAAAAAGTAGATTTACTGATACTCAACTCTAAATCTAAATTAGACGGAGTTAAACCTGAGGGACTAGCTAGATATTTTGGCAAAACCTTGGATTAGTTGGTTAATTTTGTAAAACCTAAGGGACTAAATAATAAATTACCCTTATTCATATTATGAACTAAAAGAAAACAAAAAATAATTTTAAAAAAACAGTTTTGAAAAGATAAATAACCAAAAACTAACAATTGCTTTATGTTTCTAAGAAATGAAAAACTAAAAACAAATAACTATAACAAACGATGCTTAAGTTTATTCAAGCATTTTCTCTATTGTTCTAAGTTATGAATTTAAAATAAATAAATGAGTTAATTAATTAATTAAAAAATTACATAAATGAAATGTTCTATCCTCTTCAAATAAAATATCAATTTTTCCTACAACCATACAAAAAAATATATATACTTTTTTCTTTTTTATCCCTCTCCTAAATAAAATATTATGTATATTCTATTTGAAATTTATTTTGAAACTGAAGTTAAAGTCAAGTAACATTCTCGAGATTATTGAGTTGATAAAAGTTAAATGAACTGCCAATGTAGTTCATACGCTTAGCGGTCAATGAAAAATTTAAAGCTGATATTAGAAGAAGGACAACTCACCAATTGTCTTGTGCCCATTTGCAGCCATCAGTATCCACGACATGCAAGCTGTAGGCATGCCTTGATTTTGGGGACCGATTCTCAAAACTGCAGCCCAAGCATAAGATGAGAAAGAAAAAGGTGAATTTTGAATCCATCAGCTGTTGAGAAATATAGCAGTCCTCACTTCATTGTATTTTTCAAGCTGTTACCTTTGATGAATAAGATCACCATGAATAATGACCAAAGAACCAGCTTTTACTTCAATAGGCACAAAATCCTTTAGCTCATAAGAAGGGGAAGGCCGATCAAAGTAGACCCCCTGTTCACCTCTAATAAACCTTCTCACTAGACCATCTGAAAATATAACAGAAAGGGGAGACTTACTAAACCATGTAATTTTATTGGCTTATTCTGCTTGCTGGAGGGGGAAAAAAAAAAAAAAGAAGTAGCCGAGAAAAAGAAGATACTTTTATGGGATCCAGGAACGGCCCAGAGACAACCATTTACTGTTGTTGCATCTTCCAGGGCCAACCACAGCCCTGTGCAAGTTGGTGGTTCAGTATATAGAAATGAGTTATCCTGGTGAGGCACTACTTCACCTCCGATACCTGGTTGCTGTTAACAAGGATCTCATACATTAGCCAAATGCGACAAATCATTGTTTATTTCTTCCCCAAAAAGAAGACAAAAGCTTCAGAAGCAAAATGAAGATAAAAATTCCTTTGACTCTTCTAAGTTCACTGGATAGTTTTATAAACAAGGTTTCTGAACTATTTTGTTCGATGCAGGCATCTCCAGTGTAGGGCTTATCTTATACCAAATGAGTGAGTTCACAAAAGTATATTTCAAAGTATACCATGTAATCTCCAGTCCCAATGATTTAGCTTAGCCATGTAAAACAGCATATATGACATGAATACTTCCACTGAAGGTGTGAATCCAATTGTGAAGTAGATGCCTTAATTTCTTTTTGAGGCACTGCACTTGGGTTAATCTTTATAACCTAACCTGCATTTTGTCCCATAAGGTACAATGCATGTATTGCATTATATAGAGATTTATTTATCTAATAGATACAAATGAAATCTGCAATCAACACTCTGAGCAAGTAAAAAAATGCTCATTTCATAAACAAAAACACAGCTGTGAATTCCACATCAAGAACTCAATAAGGTTGGACAAATCCGGCAAAAATGAAAAACTACAGGCATGCTTTTTTTTTTTCCATTTGTTCCTTTTAGGATCAATCGTGATCTTACAAACTATACCAACAATCCAAAGTTTGATTAAAGGGTGAACAAAGGCTTTTTAATTCTGCTAAGCTTTTCCATAGTTTATATCAATTAAGCAGCCAATAATTGTTATCAAAATGAAATTGTAACATACCTTAAAAATATACATAGACTGAATAACTACCGGCCTCTTGTAACCCAAGGAGAATAACATGCTTAAAAATTTCTCAGAGCTAGAGAAACTTTTAAATTCTGGGTCAAGCTCGTGCAGGGCTGCAAAAATATATCGTCAATAGTCAATACTGAAAATTAGCACTAAAAATGCATATCACAGTAATGACTGCAACTGCGGTAAAATAAAGCCAGTTCTGCATTTTCTTGTATTAAATAATAATATAACAACTTCAAAGCATACCATGGCCAACTTTATTAATAGAGAGGTGCTTTGGTTGCTGTAAGTTTCCATCATCACCAAATGCTTTCTCTGCCAAATATTACAATTGTCAATTTTCAACTGACCAAGCTACCATAATCTCCCAAAAGCACAAAAATTAATTTAAGGCACAACCATCAACAAAGTGAAGCAAAACTTAAGCAACAAAACCAAAAGTTACAGAATTTTCAATACCTTCGAAGAAAAAAGAAATCTTTTCAGCGCTTTCATAGAAGTAGTCATCAGTTAATTGTTGCTGAAAGTAAACATAAATGAAACGAAACGACCAGATTATCAAATTCTAGATTGTAAAATGAGATAAAACTCTGTAATTAATAAATACATATGATTTTCTTGGCCTAGACCTGGTTCTTGGTGGAGAAAATTGAGGCCGTGGAGCAATCAAAATCATCAAGCAATTGATCCATTCTCTTCATTAAGGCATCGATTTCTTCGGCGTTTGCAAACGATTCAATCACAAGGTAACCTGTCAAAGAAACAAAAAAATAAAAAATAAAAAAAATTGTATTTTCTGTAACATGGAAGCAGAATCTGTGATTGGTTAGGCTTAGTTACCTTGAGCATTAAAGGACTGAAGCTGATCGGACGTGAGGCTTCGGGTTATCCCCATGGCTTTGGTTCCCTCTTTTCGGTACTTGAGTTGAAGATAGAGATGGTGTTGACCAGCCGCTATTTCATTTCAAAGCTTCTATTAAGATAAAAGAACCGAGAAATTAGCGAAAGATTAATTAAATCATTGATTTTTTAATTAATTTTGTAAATCAAATTACGCAGAATTTGACAATTGATCGATAAATACATTTTAATTATACTTAAATTTAGCGTTGGATTGCCTAAATTTCGTTTGAATATTTGCAATTTATATGAAGTAATATATTTTAAGATTAGATTTCCTTAAGAATTTCCAAACTCAAAACTATAAAAAGAAAAATAATAACAGGATTTTATAGATGATATCAAGGTTGGTTGCTATGGTTTCCCTAACCAAAAGTTAGGAATTTAAGACCTGAATATGAAAATTATTGATTGAAATGATTTTCCTTAACCAAAAGATTCGAGTTTAAGAGCTGAATATGAAAATTACTAGAAAATTTCACCCTCCCTGTAGGCCCTACAATACTTAAAGCTAACCTATCAGAATCCAGTAGCTTTCAGAGGTAATGAAAACCGAAATTGATACCTAAACGGCCTTTCAAATCCAGTGGATATATATTTTTCACAAATTAACAACAATTTTTTCTAAATCTGCGTTTATTTTCTTAATTAAGTAGGGGATTTATCAATGCATCTCAATTTTCATCCTAGAATTAATAATAATTTCTTCAAAAAAAAAAAACTACAATTAATAATAATTAAAACCTCAAGTAAAATTAGAAAGAAAAAAGAAGACAAAAGAATGTAGACACTGAACAAATAATTCTTTTTTTCCAGTAAAGAAAATGAAATAAAAGAGTATCTATAGACATGATAAGATAGTTAATAATAATTTCTTCAAAAAAAAAAAACTACAATTAATAATAATTAACCCTCCAAGTAAAATTAGCAAGAAAAAAGAAGACAAAAGAATGTAGACACTTGAACAAATAATTCTTAATAATTAAAACCTCAAGTAAAATTAGAAAGAAAAAAGAAGACAAAAGAATGTAGACACTGAACAAATAATTCTTTTTTTCCAGTAAAGAAAATGAAATAAAAGAGTATCTATAGACATGATAAGATAGGAAAAAAAAATCAATACCCTGATCTGTAATCAAATGTACACAACTCCTTCAGCTGGTCTCTAAGGTCCTACAGATGGATCAAACCCCAACTAATTTACAAACACGACAAAACCAGGGTAGGAAAGAATCACATGTATCATTATACAGCTTGTTAGATACAGCAGCTGTAGAAGCATGTATAAAAATAATGCTCAGTTAATGCCCGGAAAATCCTGCAATTAAAGAATGCTCTTTCTATGTTTTCCGGCATCATGTACAGAAAAACGCAGTTCCCCCTATATCCAGCCCCTAATAATCATATGACGATGATCTCCAATAAATCTTTAAAGCTCCCAAAATTGAAGTTTATGCCCTCTCACCGGAGGGGAAAAGGGGAAAAAATGAAAGAATTATGAGACAAAAATGGGGGTCAGCAGCAAGGTCTGCTCATCGAAATACAGACAGAAAAACCAACCATCAAAATATTCCCCAGCAAATCATGTAGCGGATGATCTTGATTCTGTCTTGTTCATACGGCACATGCAATCTGGGCATGGAAAGGAATATATAGAATCATTTGGCCTTTTGAGCTCAAACCCTTTGGAATCACTGTGCGAGCGCATATTCAGCATATGTCGTTTGAAGCTCTTCCATCTGGCATAAAAGGGGAAAGGATAGTCAGTTTTTATTTTTTATTTCTTTGGGTGGGTTGGGCGGGAGAAGCAGCAGTAATTACTGCCAGACACCAGTAAATCCAGTCATGTTGATTAATTATCTCAATTGCTCAAATTCAAAGGAATTACTAGAATATGGTCATAATAGGCATTCTATTTTATAGTTCATGGAATTATAAACATAAAAGATGGAATGCAGTGTATAGAATTATCTCCCAAATTAGTGTCATTAGATGTCTAACCAGTTACAAACATTAAGCCCATCTTATCTAAGTTAACAATATACATTGAGCTATCACATGGTCATTTCCGTAGCTTTGTTTCTTCCCAGCTGATTTACTCATAACCAAAATCAGAAAAACCTTACTTATAGAGTAGCTTAACATTTAAATTAATTCTGCCTTCATCATTTTGATTCCAAACTTACAAAATGATTGATTACTTGAAAGAAAAATATAAAGCCATGGAATAAATGCATACCCTAGATTTGGATTATCCAAAAGCAAAGCTAACTTTCGCTTGTCTGGCCGGATTGTCTTGGAGTGTCCGCCATACAAAAATCTCCTATGGCCCATCAAAAAATGAGGAAAGTTTCCACCTTGGGTTGTTACAAATACCTCACTGTGAAGACAGACAGTGTAGTCTATAGCTGCCATCCTGGAAGAATAGTTCTGAAAGCAGCAACTCAAGTCAAATCAACGACAATGAATCAAACCTTAAACAAGAAACAAACCATAACCATCCCTACCTTAAACGGCGCAAGTTCATCCTCAGATGCCAGCATTTCTTTAGTTAGCAAATTTGGGAACATTTCCAACAGTGGGGCCATGTATTTTTCAGCATTGTATATCTTTCCTGATGCCAAGTAGATATATGTGTTCTTATCAAAACCCATCCCTCGAAGCATCAAGCCCACCTGATAAGAGAGATAAAATATGATAAACCAAAATAAAATACAAAACCTCACTAGTGATATCATATGTAGGATAAGAGTAAAATTAGCATAGATTCATTGTAGATAAACTGATTGATCAATTATTATCCGAACAGAAAATTGATTTTACACCCTCTGATGTATGGAGAGCTGGCTAACAAATACATGAAATCCCTAACTGAAATACGCCACATTTTCTCAGGGTAAAACTGTATTGCTACCTTATTTCACGTAGTAGAATTAAAACTTCATTACAAATAAAAATGCTGCAATTGTAGTACAAGTTCAGTGCAAAAATTAGGCCGACACATTTTACAACCATATTCGCAGAAATGAATGAGCAAGTCATCCTAACCCCTATTATTAAAAACTCCAAACTCCAAAACATTCCCACTTAAATGAGAACATGATCTACTCCTACCCAGTCAGAAAAAGAATAGTAAACTGAAAATTTTTGGGGCTGTTTGTAGGAACCATTAGTCTCTTACACCTCAAAGCACAGTATGCACGTATGTGTGTATAAGCAATTCACTCACAGTTCATACATCTTGAAGGAAAATATTATAACCTATCTAAATAAAGATCCTGCACCTACTCATACCTCTCAGCCCCTAGAGTTTCTGATATCAGATAAAGAAAAATGATTATTTTGACCAGCTAATAGCTTTGTGTTGCCCAACAACAAGATTATAGAGGCACCAACAAGCCACAGCAAGGTCATCGGCAATACAAATGGTTCAACGACACACTCAGCTACTTATTTCACAAACAAAAACAAGAAAGGGCTAGTAACATTTGCACCAGGAATCAACAACTATATAGTTCAAAAAGCATCTTCAATTGCCTACCAATATTGCACAGTTATTTGACAACAATCAGCATAGCAAAGACGGTTACAAAGTTCAAGCAAGTACGCAACACAGAATTGACGACTGAATTCATCTGAGAGAGCAGATGCAACTGAAGTTTAGGCATCACTGGTTAATGAACAGAAAGATGGTCATGCATTTTACCTCTAAAGGAGTAAGGGGACACTTCCCATTGAGCCTTATTGCTCCAGGACGTATAGTGCGACCAGGCTTTGTAAATTTTCCTTTCCAACCTCTTTCTCTGGCTGCTATCATGTCCTTTTCTTCTTCTGCTCCACCATCAAAAACACAGCAGGAGAAAGCAACCATGTCCTGTGCACAAGTGGGCGACTTCCATCAGTTGACGATTAAGATTTTCAGAAGAAAAACAATTCTTTTGTTTACAAGGAGCAAAAGCAATAGAGATTTATTATACTTACCTCCTCAAAGCGAAGATGCACAGAAACATACTTTCCACCGTGGTTCACACTGCGTTCCTTCATTCTTCCCACCAAATTTTCTCCCAGACTTAATATGGGATTTGAAAACCTTAATGCTTCATAATTTGCTAGGCATCTAAGCCGCTGGACAGCTGGAGGAGCATCAAATGACAATCGATTTGCGAAAGGAGAAATCCTTATGACCCTGAGTCATTCATTAGAAAACAATACTTCAAACTAACAAAACAATACAGTGTCAAAGTAATCCGTTCGCCATCGCCAATAACAATCATGGTGCATGTGTTGGTTTCATCACAAGGAAATGACAATAAACATAGCAACTGAAGTTGACCCACAAATAACCTTTTAATAAGGCTTACCTTGACTTGTTTGTCAAGGCTAGCGAGCAATGTTCAAGGCACTTTCAGATCTTATATTGAACAAATGAGCCAAATTTCCACTAGAAGCTCGACTTCTTAAATACATAACTGAGCTTTGTTGGTTTGCTTTTGGTAAGCAGAACCAAGCTCATCATCGCATACAATTTCAATAAGCTGATGATAAGCTTAGCCTGAGTTTCACTTGCATGTGAAGTTCAACTAACTGAAGAAAGCCTAGCTTAAGCTTAGATTAGGCTTCAGTAAAGATGCAGCAGGTTTGAACCCTCAAAAATTATACAAAGAGATAAATAAGATAATATTATCAAACACCAAGAAAGAAAAATTTAAAAAAAAAAAAAAAAAAAAAAAAACTCAAAAAATTAATACAAAGAGATAAATAAGATAATATTCTCAAACACCAAAAGAAAGAAAAATTTAAAAAAAAAAAAAAAAAAAAAAAAAAAAAAAAATCTTGAGCTGATTGATATATAGTCTCTAACTCACTTTTCCTCAAGTAGCCTTGGAAGGACAATATCCCTGTAGTACTGAATGGATGACCACGCTTTCACTCTGAAGTTGTAGACATTGGTCAAGTTATGATCAAAACGCTCCATAAGATATCCAGGAATCTTATCAACCACCCTTACGTCATTTTCCAAGCTACTGACGAAATAATCTTCATCATAAATATCTCTAAATTTGCTGAACAAGTAAAAACCCCAAGTAAGACATTTTGAATGTGACATGACTATGACGCAATGACTATGCATATTCGTAATCTAGCAGCAAGTGAAGTAAAATAACAATTAAAGAACCTATTCAGGATTATCTAACCCAAACCTTTTAAACACTCTTTTTCTTAAAAAGAAAAAATAGAAAACAAACTATCAATACATGCATATGATGGTCTCAAGCCATCACACTACAGAACAGGGACAAACCTGGGATCTTTCCAAATGCTATGAAAATGAAAATTTGGGATAAGAAGTGTTGCATTTAGATAGCCTGCCACAGCAACTGCATTACATATCTAAAAAGCATGCATAAAAATTGTGTTAAGAATAAATAGAACAAACTATTTTGCAATAAAGGGGAGAAGAGGGAAATATAAGTGAGGAGCTTGGCAAATATAAACATGAAATGAGGAAAAGCAATGAATCAAACCAACCGATGTCCTCTGCTGATTCAGGCCACCATTCGCCTCAATATATATGTAACCATTTGATTCAGGTAACTCTGTTATGATAAACAACCACAGCAACAAAGTTTAATAAGCAAAGAGAACCAAGATTGTGAAACCTATGAATATTGAGAATGGAACAATTTTAGGAAAAAGTAAGGAAAATGCAGAACAAAAACGAAGAGATACAATAGAACCCAGTTTTCCAAATTGTTGATCCCAAGTAATCCTATTTGTTTAGGGTATACAAGAGGGTACCACCTTATGTAGCTTCAGGCCCAATAATATGGATCTCCTATTGGATAGAAGTCAAAAAACACTAAAATAAAACGCAGAAGGTAGTCTGGGTCATGCTGATGATAGCAACTGGAGAATCTTACCTTATAAGCACTATTATTACTAGTGCATATATAGTACTGCAGAGAACACAGATATAAAATGAATAAAGCTTAAATGGAAATGGTGGAAGTGCTCTGGAAGTAGAATAGTAAAAAAGTTAGTTGGTGAACCAAATAAAGCTGGATTAAGTGATAAATTGAGGTTTTTTCCACAAAAACATTTCAAGATCTGCATTCATAACAAGCAATCTTTGTGGAGATATTCTGCAAGAACATTTCTCTTCTTTTGAAGATTCCTAGACTGCCTTAGATCTTCGCAAAGAATTTGACCAACGACTAAAAGTTCTCTTAAATGATTTTTCTGAATTTTTGTAAGAATCTGTTGTGAACTTTAAGCGTAACTTTGTATCTTATATTTTGCTGAAGGCAATGGCGAACAGGAGCTATCAGCATATCACAATGACTAATAATCAGCACAAAGTGATTGCAAATCATTCTTGAAGGAGGGAGCATCCTTTACAGAAGAAGAAAATAATTAAGGTAAGTACACAATGGATGCAACTTCTGATCATTGGCCTTATGACCCAATGCTACGTTCTGTCATTCAGCAACTTGATGATTCTTACAGTTGAAAAAAAAAAGTAAGCAATCAAATTCTAATCAGAATTAGTATAAATGGCTCAACTATTAGAATATCTTCCCACATAACTTACTCCATTATCCAACATTTATACCAACTGCCAAAACTGGGTAGCATCACAAAATAATGACTTAACACATCTAGTTAGATCTAGGATGGCCTCATTCTTGCAACCATGATTGCTAAATTCCAAAGTATGAAGCATGAAAAAGACACAAAAAAAAAGCTGCATTAATAAAACTTAAACAAAACATTGAGAGTAATGCCAACTACTGCATCTAGGCCATTGACATTTAATTTATTACATGTTAACAAATAGTTGATAGAGACATTCCTAAAAAATACATGATATGAGGCAAAAAAAAAAAATCATACCTCCCGAAGACTTGTTCACACATGATCTCCACTCACCACCTTTATATGAGTTTTTCCATATTGTTGATAGCTACAAAGAATTTCATTGTTTATTTCAGAGCCAAATACCTAAAAAAATATATAAATTATCTTACGCATAAAGTTTTTGCAACTATTAACAAACACAACAAAGAATAAAGCAATTTGGAATATGAGACTGCATAAAACAGGAATAACTATCCAAACTCAGTTTTGGAACAGAGAGAACGCAAAACCACATGACTGTTCTGCTATGTAATTAGTTACTTGTCAACAAAAGTATGTAATCCCATAGAATATTGGCATTGCTGCAACTGTTCTCATGACTGCACTACTGGATTTAGTACAAAAAAAAAAATTTAAAAAGAGTAGTAGAAGCCCCAATGCGCTAAGACTAATGAATAAATTTGGGTACCAAACCAAAAGCTAAGATCTTAAAGCAAATTCTGAGAATTGCGTTCTTCCGTACTAAAAATAAAACTACTAGATTAAGCTAACCTTAAAGAGGTGGCATTCTAGTTCCAACATAACCGAATATTTTTAAATCCCAGCCCACCAATTGTAACATGTAAAGAGGAGTCAAATGTTTATCTTTAACATTCAAACTAGTAGCGAAATTTGCCAGGTCGCCAAAGGCTTTCTTTTGGCTAATAAGGAATAAGGAGAAGGATGCATCTCTTTCTCCAAACAGTTTATTTTGCAATAGCGTTGGGCATCAGTTAGGCAACGAACGATGCATCTACCAATATTAAATCATGGTTTCTCAACATTATTACTAAAGATAGAATCGCAAAATTGCATTTGTTCCTTCTAGTCAAGTCACTTGGTTCTAGGTTCAGATTTGCATCCGAGCCATACCAATGCCAAATACGAAAGCCACAGACGATCCTAACCTCCAAATCATACCAAATTAACCCATCCAACAATGGAACTCATAAAACTAAGAACTAAATAAGATCAAACTTATATCACCAATCCCGAAGATAAATTTTAGAAGAAAAAAAAAAAAAAAAAAATCTAAACTAAAGAACTAAATAAGATCAACTTATATCACCAATCCCCGAAGATTAAATTTAGAAGAAAAAAAAAAAAAAAAAAAAAGCAATCCCAATTATACAAAAAGTAATTTTACAGAATTGGAAAAAAAAATTGCTGCGCGCGCGCGCGACCGCATCAGCAAAGACATTAATCCGCGTCCCATTTCAAGGTCGGAGCTTTTGATAAAAGCCTGAAGGACCTCCCGATAGACAGACCCAGGAGCAGGCTTATGCTTTAATGACAGGAACGACAAATCAAAAACGATACCGTAAAAAAAAAAAAAAAAAAAAAGCATCCCAATTATACAAAAGTAATTTACAGAATTGAAAAAAAAAAATTGCTCACCGCATCAGCAGAAGAATTATCCGCGTCCATTTCAGGTCGGAGCTTTTGATAAAGCTGAGGACTCCGATAGACAGACCCAGGAGCAGGCTTATGCTTAATGACAGGAACGACATCAAACGATACCGTTCCCATATACAAAAGCATACCAGATATGTAAATAAGAGGGGCAAATAGAAAAATCCCCTGGCGGCGGAGAAGGACAGAAAGAAAAAGCCAAGCGAGACGATGAGCAACGGTCCGACCTGGCGGGTGGGACGCCGGAGTAAAGCGCTTGGAGCGGCTACCGTGGCGATACCTCGGGGAACGAAGCGGCGATTGTGGCGGTGAGGGTGTGGAGTGGCCGCTGCTCGGTATCCTGTTTTTTGCGTGCATTTAGTAAACCAAAAACTTTTGGATCTCTGTCTCTCCGTTCTGGCTTCCCCCGCTACGACGTCGTAAATACATAAGCTTTAATTCAAAAACAAAAAAAAAATCAGCGCCTCCTCTGTTGGCTTTGGTGTTGGTGCCTATACGTTGTTTGCTTTTATTCTCTCTTTCATGATGTCTCCCTTTGTTCCTGGGAGCTGTGTCCGACTATTATGGCAGATGAAAGAAAGAGACAGAGAGAGAGGAAAGAAGGAAAGCACGTGCAAAGGTTGATGATGTGTATATTGTTGTTTTCGTTTTGGGGGTGGCGAGCGACAGGCAGATTGCAGTTGGAAGCTCTGTGGAAGGGAAGTATATATTTTAATTTCATTTTCATTGTCATTATTATTAATTTGCATAGGTTGCTTTTACTATTATATTTGAATTGAACGAGGAGTCCTCCACTCGCTTGGCGTGCGGATAGGTGCAATTTAATTGTTTTTATTATTTATATTATTTGATAACGTTACATATTCTGAATTATAGTAATTATATTAGTAAAACAGTTACTAAGTAGTAAAACAAATTTATTTTGCTTAACATGTCTAAAAGATAATAATGATTTAAAATAATTTTGATATGAATAATAATGTAAAATTATTTTATTATTTTAGCAAACTATAAAATTTTGTAAGTACATTATGATTTTTAAAATAAAATATTAAATAGTAATTTATAAGAATCCAAATATTCAATCTAGATTACTAATTTTCTTAAAAAATAATCATTTATTTCTAGATACTTTCAAAATGATGAATATATAGATATTTACTTTAATTACTCATATTATATTATCATTCTAGGTATATCACCTTAAAAATGATATTATTTCCAATCCGTTTATATAAACAAAGTTTTTATTGTCAGTGTTCTATCCATATACAAAATTACTTAATTCGGACTACAGTTAAAATATAAAATCTAAATTACTCTAAATTTGTTTTGTTTAGAGTAATTTTTTTATTATTTTGTTCATATTTAAATCAGAAAAATGGATATATTTCTTCCATCCTTAAAAATTTCACCTAAATTTGAGCATGTTTCAAACCTCAAAATTCAAGCCTTACCCATTACTTCATATAAAATTTATATACTTGAGTATAAACTTTCTTTTATACTATATTTTCTATCTTTAGGAGTAACTTTCAAATGTTTAATCTTTAAAATTACCCAGTGACTAATCTTTCAAGACAGCTAATTTGAATTACAAACAAAATTGAACTTATAAATTAATCCCTAAAACATGTGATGTTTAAACTTTAAATAATTGAAGAAAAAACAACATATTATCATTTCAATAAATTGAATTTAGAATTCTCACTTCCAATCCAAGCTTAGAATCTCCAAAATTCTTGTGCAGTTTGGACAAAATTCATAATTTAAAAAAGAGAACACTTGCAGTGGAAGAAATGTGTGGCAGTATTGCTTAATATATAAATTTCAAGTTAAATCTAAAAGGAAAGGGAGCACGTGCAGGGAAGAGGAGGGATGGGGTGGCTCTTTCTTTTCTGATTTCAAACACAGATTTAGATTTCCCTTTTTCTGCCTAACCATCACTGCCTGTCTGAAGAAGAAATGTCTAGCCCCTTCTCACCCTTCCTTCCCTCTGCAAATTTATGTTTTGTTGCTTATTTCATCTTCAGTTGTCTCGAATTTAATAAACCCTAAACACATTTATTATCTCACTCAAAATGTTTTCTTGGAATTAGGGACAATTTTATTTTCCAAAAGATTTTATTTCAATCTTATTAGATGCTATTAATATTTGTTTTCGCTCACATTATTGTTAAGATATTTTTTCAAACATTGTTACAGAGCAAACACATTATAATTACAATTTCAAATACAAGTTACAGAGCAATCCAATTCGTATAAGGAGCAGAAATTACTGGGAGATAAAACCGGTTACCTTTTTTTGTCATCGGTATTTCACCTTAGCAGCTAGGATAATTGGTAAAAATATTCTACCTTTAAATAGTTGAAGCCATTGGATTGATAATTTAGTTTTTTATATTTATGTACGTTCATTGATAATTGAGATCTCCTTGCTGACGATAGTACATGAAGATCTTACACAAAACCTAAATGGACCCTCACCCTCCCCTCTTCGAAGGGATTTGATATTGGGAAAATGCCATGCATTGCCTTGGATTTGGATCTCTGATAATACCCCCGGCCAATCAAATTATTACTATTTTCTCTTATGCTTAAAGAACATCAAATTTAATATGGAAACTTTTAATTTATGAAATTCAACGTAGATAAATCAAATTCTACTAAATAAAAAAAAAATAATTATATTTTGAATTTATTTTTACCAAGAAGAAGAAAGAAACAAATTGGTTTTATGTTTCTCCAGGCAATTGCTAGAAAACTTGGAATCTCCTAAGCAACAACACCAAATCCCAGGTCATTGCCAGCTCTACGAAGGTACATGAACCGAAAAGGGACCAATAAATTGACTTCAGATATCCATTTCAGGTTGGTCACATCCTCTCCAGTCCACTATTAAGTTTGTGGACAAAAAATTTGCCCTTTTTATTAGATTAGGCAGCTGACTAGAGAAAGTGGATTGTTTGTGTACTTAGGAAGCAATCAACTCTAATTATTATCAAGTTTTAGACAACGAGGAAAACTAGTTAAATGGAACTATCGGTTTCAAACTTTATAAAGCATGAATTAGACTCACTACCTACCTTGTTCTCATCTCATGCGATCTCTGCTCTATGGAATTGACCTCATTACTTGACTAAGGAGGGTGTATGGTTTGACACCATCCTCTTTAGAAAATAATTTCAGCCAATCATGCTGAAGATAGCTTTTCCAAAAATCACCATTTAGAAATTTTTGAAAAAACTAGTTAGGAAGCAATGTAGCAGTTGCCATAACTTCCATGACAAAAATTATTTGAAAATACTGGTATTAAAATGCAATATGGACGTTTTATACATCCAAAAATAAAAGTTTTTGATAAACTCAAATCACCATGGTATATGAAGGGACACCAAGCTCATGTACGACATCATGACAATTGATGATTATTAGAGCTCAAATTACCTCTAATCACCCAGATGATTAGAGCTCCTATTACAATACCAAGCAAGCCCTAAAAACATTCGCAATAACAGCAAATCTTAAATCAAATAAGAACTCATTTGGTTCACAGAATGGCATAGAATAGAGACGGAATAAAATGATCTATTCCATTGGAATACTTATTTCTATAAAACACAAAACAGCTATTTCATGGAATGACAAATTTAGGACAACTTTCAAATTTATAAAACACAGTTTCATAACAACTAAAAAGTGAAGAATAAGTATTCTATAATTTGTCATTTCATTTCTATTCTATAATTATTAGCCCTCTCTAAACCACCAAAAGAATAGAAAATGCAAACGATATAACAATGTCTGGCATTTCCATAAAGCAGCTGTATTCTTCTAAACTTCACTCCCATTCAATCTTTTAATCATTACCATTTTATACCCCATTGACAAATTCCACAGGAAGATTGGACAGAGCATATTAAGTATCAGTCGAAATCAACTTTGATACACCAACGTATTAAAACACACTCAACTGCCACACAAGTTGTTTCCACTACAAAGTTTGGTTCGTGGAATAAAACTTAGGCCTACTTTGATTGTGGAATGAAATAGGAAGAGAAAAAAAAAGGATAGACTCTCCATATTCACTCAAAATAAATTTATATTCTATAAATTTGAAGAATTTTGTCAAACCTTAAGATTATGGAATAACCATTCTATTTCCCCATATCCGTTCAACAAAACCAAACCAGGCCTTAGTCTACAAATTCCATAATATAAGAAGGAAAACCAACAACAATGCAAAAGCAACAAGGAAGAGATAATTCCATTCTCAAATTCCAAAATAACTTAGTTCAATTAAAAATCATCATCAATATCCGTAAGTTACATAACTCCTAACCCATAACGTTTTAGTCTTATAGAGCTCCAAAACAAAAACTCATTTTAGATGGAAAATAACAATAAGCAACCAATCAATCACTCATGTAGAGTGCCCAAGATGTCCTCATCCCTGTACAAATAAAACCTGCACAAGACCCGGAAAGGAAAAAAAACAATAACAATAAACATCGGAAAAATATACAACAAATCAAACGAAAAATTGGCAAAACAGGTTGCAGTTGAGGAACACGTACTCTTTATCCCCAAGTTTCACTTGGGTTCCTCCATACTCAGGCAACAGCACAGTGTCTCCTTCCTTAACCGATGTAGGGATAGTTTTTCCTTCGTTGCTCCTCAATCCAGGACCAACAGAGATAACCTTCCCTGAATTCAGCTGTTAAAACCAGAATAATCACAACAATCAGGATCAATTCGAGTCCAAATACATACAAAAACTAACAAGCCACGTACATATTTCAAAATACAAGCAAATACCTTCGTGGATGACTCGGGGAGGAGAATACCAGCGGTGGTTTTGGAGGGAGGAACGATCTTCTCCACCAGCACGCGATTAAGGGTTGGAATCAAGCGCTTAGCCATTCTAGTAATCCAAAATCTATCTCGTCACTGCAATTTTGAGGATTGTAGTATAGCGGGCGAAAGGGAAAATGGCGATCTGTCCCCTTAAAAATGAGAGGATTAAGCCGTGCGAGAAGAGGGTGCCACAGGGACCAATGCTCTAGAGGGGAATAGAAGGTTCTAGGTCTTAGGGTTTTAGTTAGGGTTTTACTCACTGATCATATGGGCCTCCGATGCATAGTTGGGCCATAATGAGCCTGACCCAATGCGCGTGCGCACACGTAAAAAAAAAAGAAGGGGGAAAAGTATATTATGTAAATAACAATACATGCTTTGATTATTTTTGTACGTAAAATGTTGGATTAGAGAGTGTAAAGCCTAAGCCTGATGGAAGGATCTTCATGCAACTGCATAAGCTTACTCGTGATCAAATCCACCCCTTACATCTTTTCTATTATACTTATGAGATAAAAAAATATCGTATTAATGTTCGAACCGATAATTATAGAGATTTTATATCGATAATTAACCACTTAGAATGGTTATTTTTACTTGTCTTTAAAAAAAGTAAAAAAAAAAAAACAGATTAATGTTATTCATGTATATAAAGAGACAAATTTCAGTGCAAATTTCCTCTCTAAATTGTTAGAAATTTCTCTCTTGAAATTCATGTGCTTATGGATCCTCCATTAGGCATGGACTGATAGCTTAACCATAATTTGCATGATATAGTACACCTAGATTATGCATGTAATTTTCATAGCTTAGCTCTCCACTTAACTTAAAAAAAAAAAAAACAGATTGAGATATAGTTGTAAGGGATTACTCACTTGCCACATGTGAAACTCGATCCATAAAGAAACTCTCAAAAGTATTCCGAAACTTGCAGCCAGTAACAGGAACTATAAACTCTAACCTTAATCTTGGATTTTTCGAAGTATCAGAAAGATATTTGGGCTCTTATCGACATGGATCATGTTGTAACTGAGCTAATACAAATTGGGCTCAAACAGAAGTAAAAATTGTTGTGTGATTTTCAATCCCTCTCCATCCGCAATTTTTCCGACTAAACAAATGGTCAAAAAAGCGTCAACATCGCTTCGAATCTGCGCGGGCATAGCCCACATGAGTTTTAAGTCATGCTCGATAACCACTCCGGCACACCCACTTGATGGTACCAGCTTTACAAAATTTTTTGGTCCACATAGATGTAACAATAATTAAAATAAACCACAATTTTTGTATTTCACATACGATCCATGGCACATATGCTAATAGAGACCAGACACGTGGAGAAGGGTCAGGGTAATTGTGACTTGCACTTCATCAGCAAGGATTCCCTAGACATGGTGTATGGGTCTCACCTAATTAAAAATAGTTTTTTTTGGTTAAACGTGGGTATTTAAGACAGTTTTATACTTCTATACTGTAAAGAATTAAACGCAAAATAACCTTTTTTTTTTCTTTTTTATGAAATGATTAAATAGTTTAATACTAATGTAATGTACCATTTCTTCAAAAAATATACCATTTCTGTTTCATAATACTTATCACATTTGAAAAAATAGTTTGTTTCAAAATATTTATTATATTTATAGTTTCAAAGAATAATAAATATTTTTTTTTTCATGTTTACCCTTTGTATATGACCAATAATTATTACTTGAATTTAATGATTTTTTTAGAAAGTATTAAATTAAAAGTAATTAGTCAATTTACTTAATAATTCATTATGACTTAAACAAATTTAATAGTTTACTTAAGAGACCTAAAATGCAAAATGTAATAAATATTATGGCACACAGATAATACAAACAATGTACCATAAAGACTAATTAACAACTCATTGCTGCAAAAACGAGCGAGAATGGGAAAAAAAGTTAGGTAAATAAGTTAATTTATAAGTAAGTATACCTAACACATATTAAGAAATCTTACCATATTAATGTCGAATCAACAATTTTACTTGAGAAAATGCTGTTTTTTTTTTTTTTTTTTTTTTTTTTTTTAAATAGTTTACTTAAAGAGACCTAAAATGCAAATGTAATAAATATTAATGGCACACAGATAATAACAAACAATGTAAGCCATACAAGACTAATTAACCAACTCATTGCTGGCAAAAACGAGCGTAGAATGGGGAAAAAAAAGTTAGGTAAAAGTAAGTTAATTTTTATTAAGAGTAAGTATACCTAAGCACATATTAAAGAAATCCTTTAACCAAATATTAATGTCGAATCAACAAATTTACTTGAGAAAATGGCTGTTTTTTTTTTTTTTTTTTTTTTTTTCTTTTGAGTGAAGAAAATGCTTGAGTTTATGCTTTAAGGATCATTCAAGATAAAAACAATTTAATCTTAGTGCGTGAATGTTGTAGTGAGTAGATATCCATTCCATTTGCTTTTTTTTTTTTTTTTTTTTTTTTTGAGTGGAAGAAAATGCTGAGTTTATCTTTAAGATCATTCAAGATAAAAACAATTTAATCTTAGTGCGTGAATGTTAGTGATAGAATATCCATTTCCATTTGCATCAAAATAAAAAGTTATTTTCTTTTATAATCAGGAGACATAACTCTCCTCAGACTGTAAAATATAAGATTTTTAATTTTCCTAGCAAAGTGCAGTTCATGAAAATTGAATTTGTGTTTTCAATCTTACAAAATTGAAGTCACTTACCATCTAATAGTATAAAACAAAAACTTATTGATATAAGGTAGTTTATATAGAAAAAAAATTATTTTCTTTTTGGAGAAAATTTGTCCAAATCTTTTTGGGGGAAAAAATCATGTATTCTTTTTAATGCATATGCAAAGGGATGATTTTCAGCTAAGAATTCCTGTTCTTTTATTTAGGTATATGTCTGCATTAGACAAGATCGACAATGACAGAGTTCCTCATGGCAAATTTCAGACCAATAAAAGAAAAAGGACAACAGAGAATATTAATTTTCACCCATTAGTCATTAACATCTGCTTGACTGTTACAATTGATTGGAAGGGATGGAAAGGAAAGGACCAATTCAAATAGTTTTTAGTTTCATATATTAATTTATATTTAAAAAGTAAAAAAAAAAAGATGACATAAATTAGTGGGTGGTGGGAGAAGATATCAAAATGAATAGAGATGTATATGGAATACGATATTAAATGCAATATAAATATTGGTGATATAATTATATGTCAGAAAATTAATATTAAAGCACATGTTATTTATTGTCGTATTACTAAATATCACATTAAAAAAGTGTTTAGCTCACATATACATTTAAATATAAAAAACTCGATATTTCATAATCATTGATCAATAACTAATATGGTCTAAATAATTGATACTAAATACTTTCTAGATTTTTTTTTTGTGAAAATAGAAAAAAAATTGCTAACTAAGAATGAATCATGAAATAGCTAGTCAATCTAAAATACAAATGATCTGTTCAGTACAATTAACTGTTTTGATAATTATTAGTTGTTTTATTAACATTTAGCTATTTTAGTAATTTTTTTATAAAATGTTAAAAGCTAAACGTCATGAGTCTTAATCTTTTATAAAACGTTACTTTAATTTTTAAAAATAACTGGATTAAACATGCTGAAAGTTACCATAGATGATGTACTCGAAAGGTAATTCTCAGCTAAATTTTTTGATCAATCGATCAATATAATTAACTTCGCCACACACATGAGAAATTTAACTTTATAGACAAAACTATCTATTAAACAATACAAGTAACCTTAAGTCACTCTGAGGGATAGGATCCTTTTTTAGCACTCCCTTAGCCGTACCTCCTTTTGATGTAGAAACAAAATAGCAAATAATTATTGGTTATTAGTTGAATATTGAACTTTATATTACCCCCAATAGGAGGAGCAAAAAAGGGGATAAAAAAAAAATTGATGTTGGGTTATGGGGGAGAACTTTATCTAGGAATATAATTAGTATATAATTATATAGAGACAACTTCACAACAAGAACCTATACATATATCAAATACAACTAAAAAAATACATTTTCAAAGAAACGTAATGATATCTCACTTTTCTCTTTCGTGGGATTATCCGGCGCGAGTCTGGATTAATCGGGTTAAAAGATTTTGGACACATTCAAGTAATGGTCCCTCGTATATAGCAAATAATAATTGCTTTTTCTTTATATTATGAATATGAGAGACCTTTTGAAACCAAAAAAAAAAAAAAAAAGGAAAGGTCATATGCTCTAGGCATGGGATGACAAAGGGATTGAAGATAGAATATGGAAAATTGTGGCTCTTAGAGTGTCAATTTCTAAAAGTAGGATACACATGAATCCAGAAGGAGGCTTAAAGATTGAAAAACAAAACCACTAGTGGTGGTGGAGAGAAAGGCATATGTCTTAATTCCTGTATTGTATGAGCTCTAACAACTTGGTTCCATGATTTATGGTCTGAAAATTTTCTTTGTGCAATAATGGAAGGTCTGTGCTGATAATGTTGATCTAGTTCTTGGATGAATCTTTGAGTGGATGTCCATTTCATATACTAGACACTGAATATTCACAATGTGCACATATTGGCCCTCTCTTTCTATCTCTTTCTCTCTCTTTTTTTTTTTTTTTCGTACTAAAAAGTTATGTCAAAATAATTCTTTACTTAGTTAATAGGATATTACTACCAACAATTGAATTATGAGTTTGAAAATGACCAGAAAAAGCAATGCTTAATTATTAACGAGCATTCTAATGCTTAATTGTACTTAGTTAATAGTATATCATCTTAATTTGAAATGCTTAATTATATGATTCGAATCGATTTCCACCACATGATCACCACAAATTAATCCACTCAAAAAAGCAATGCTTAATAACTAACGAGCATTCTAATGCTAGACATGTTAACACGTTAAAGTTTAAATTTGAAAAATAACAAATTTACAAAAAGATTGACTTGTCCAACCTATCAATTTTTGTGCTTCATACCATAAAAATGATTAATATGAGTGAATTAACTCCTTTTTTTTTAAAAAAAATAATAATAATAACCGGTTTGGATTTTTGGATTGTGTCAAAATTTTGAAATTGGTACGTATGACAGCAATCATGCATAGCGACGACCAATGAAACGGGAGGGCACCGACCAAAACCAAAATTTACTTACATTTGATACATACCCAAGAGGGGATGATTAATTTAAATTAATCTATGGTTTGATTTTGATATACTTACAAAAGAAAGATAGACATATAGAAAAGCACATTTATGCTTTTCTTTTCTTTTTTTTTTTTTCAGCACTTTCACTTTATGTCTTAAATTAATATTCTTTTTCTAAAACAAATGATTACACATAATAATTATTTTTGCTTAATCCAAACTTCTAACCTGATCTCTTTATACCCATTCATGCTTTTTCCTTTACCCTTATTCTTGTCTTTTCCTAAAGGTATGGGAAAAGAGAAACTTTCACTTGCTAAAAGTAGGGAAATTAAAAGACAGCTTTAAGGATTCGGAAATACAAAAGCTAACTTATCTCTAACTAAAGTTCAAAGGTGGTCGCATGATTCTTCTTCTTCTTTTCATTTCTCTTGTTCTTGATTTTTTTTTTTTTTTTTTTTTTTTTTTTTTTTGTAGGGAAAATTAAAAGACAAGCTTTTAAGGATTCGGAAACAAAAGCTAACTATCTCTACCCTAAAGTTCAAAGGTGGTTGCGCAATGAAATTCTTCTTCTTCTTTTTCATTTCTCTTGTTTCTTGAATTTTTTTCTTTTTTTTTTATTTTTTTTTTTTTTTTTGCCCATCGGTTTCTATCTTACAGGAGGTAGGTATTACAATTCTGCACTAAGGCCAGTGCTGTAATTTAAAGTAGACTATAACAGTTATAATTTTAAGATCCTTCGAGATCTCCAATGAACAATTGGTCAATAGATTAATTCTTATCCCCAGTAATAAGTACCTTATAATTGATATTCTGCCCTTTATGGATTATAATTGTCCGCTTATTAAGACTTTGATTTGCTTGTTTTTTATCCGTTGAAATAAGATAATTTTACTAAATCAAAATATTTGTTTTGGATTATTACAAAACAAATAAGCTACATTAAATTTTTTTTTTTTTTTTTTTTTTTTTTTTTTTGGCCATCGGTTTCTACTTACAAGGAAGGTAGGTATTACAATCTGCACTAGGCAGTGCTGTAATTTAAGTAGACTAATACAGTTATAATTTTAAGATGGAGATCTCATGAACAATTGGTCATAGATTCAATTCTTATCCCCAGTAATAAGTACCTTATAATTGATATTCTGCCCTTTATGGATTATAGTGCCCTTATTAGACTTTGATTTGCTTGTTTTTATCGTTGAAAAGATAATTTACTAATCAAATATTTGTTTTATTATTACAAAACAAATAAGCTACATTACTTCTTTATCTCTTTGTTTTTTCATTTTCCTTTTTAGCATGTGCATGTTATTCACCTTTGGACTAGGAGTGACTTTCTCAATAATAGTAATCCTATTTTTCTTTCTTGATCTTGCACATAAAATTTATTTGAAAATACAATTCATTTCCAATGATTTAATAATTTATTGGTATTTTTTTTTTACAAAATTAAGAAAAATGAAACAAAGAGATATTTCATTTTTGACGTTCCACTACTGATTTCGTGAAACTACCATCTTAGATTGGAATGAGTTGATAAGATCTCCTTTCTACATCTCCATGTGACCATGTCTTTAACTTGTGGCGACTAGTTCAATCCGTGCACAACCTATGAGGGACGGTCATTGATGGACATAGAAAGAACAAACGGGGTCATTGTCCCAGGTCCAAAACTTTATAAACATTTTCTTTATAATGTTTGTCCCCCAAATTTAAAAAATTTCCTTTTAGCTCCCTAACTTTAAACTCTAGTGGATTGTTTTATTAGGAAATTAGGGCAGAAGCCAACGGAATACACAAAAAGAAAAGGAAAAGGAATCATTAAGTTGCCATTTTTATCTTTTTATAATTTTATAAATTTCCTAATACTATATCTGGATGTATTATCATTTTACTAATATAATAATATATTATGCATATTATCTGTATATATTATCATTTTGCACGTTTTACAAAAGATATGTGAAAATGCGAGACTTCACCAATTACTATCATTTTGATAAATGTTATTTAAAATGGAGGGTTGTCTTTGCCATGTAGTTTATGTATAAAAAATTAATATATTAACATATTAAAATTTGATGAATATTAATTAATTAGCATTTTTAAAAAAATAGGTAAATATGACAAAATCTTTTAAAGTAGGACAGAGATTTTTCATTTAATGATAGACACAAAATATTTGTAATGTTGATATAAAATTGTCACATCCAATTAAAAGTTCTTTCATTTTCAATCAATGGTCTTTCAACTTAATTTTTAACGTGTCCATTTTGAGAAATGATAATATCAAAATTGAAAACTATATGTGGTAGTAATTATTACAATAATTGCAATTAGCGTGAGACTTCCGTAATCATCCTAGTTTGGAAATTATCAAGCCAACTGTTTACTAGGTCCAAGTTGTCAATAATGATATTATATATTTAGACTTAGGTTATTTATTTGATAAGGTAACACATTTAAAAAAATCAATAACAGCTAACTGTTATTAAGACAGTTAATTAATTTTATGTATCGGAAGCCAAAAAAAAATTAATTAAAAAGTTAATTAGCTAATTAAATTGTGGTAGTTAATGCTTGAATTTAGGCATCAAATGAAACAAGGAATCAAATGATAGATATTTTTATTTAGAGTCTGCTCGTGCACTAATGATTGATTATAAAAAGTTTTTGATTGAGTCAAAATAAAATAAAAATAGTGATGCATTTTGAATAGTCACTGGCAACCAATACCGGTTTAAAGATAAGAACCATCAATTCGACACAGTTCAGAATCCAATTCTTCCAAATTGATTCATATATATCCGATTAAAAATTAGGCCAATCTCAATACAATATTGATTTTGAACTGAATCATGATAAACTCTAATGCTATTTTCTCTTATTGAGAGTATGATAGTTATACAATATATGCTCTCTGAAAAGGGGAAAAAAATGAAGGGAATTGAAAATTTCAAAGTCTAATCTTCTTAAAATTAAGAATTATTTAGTTCATAAGTAAATTTATTCCATTTGTATTAATCAAATTAAAATTTTATTAATAAATAATACTTTTAATGAATTTTTTTAAAGATCATATACATATAGTCTATCTTTTACTTGGATGAGAAATCAAATATTAATGGAGTAGTATTACTTATTTGTGTGTTTCCGATTTTTTTTTTTAAAAATAAGAATAAAGATTAGTAAAAAGTTTAGAAAAAACTGAGCATTATGGAAACAACTATCCTAGATCACCATGTCTAGGTAAAAAAAACCTGATGGTCATCAGAATTAAAAAATTGAGAAATAAAATTTTGGAGCATCACGCACGATAACAGCTTTAGCGAAAGAATGAGCTGTCGTATTAGCTTGGTGTCTAACCCATGGACATTCCAATCACTGCCCTCATTCAAAAGAGTTTTGAATCGGTTTGAAGTCAATTCTAACCGATAAGCGAATAGGTTTGATGTGTTGTGACATTAATAGTGACTGCCATTTTATGCCACCTCATGAAATGTGGCAAACATGGTGCGAGGCAATTTGGCTTGTCAACCACGACACAGATGGTGCAGAGAGCTATTGTTATGTCTATTTACTACGCAAATGGAACCATTCCATTCCTGATGTGATCATTTCAAGCAGTATGTATATTAAACGCACGTATGCAAATTCAGCCACTTTTCGGACTTAGAGAAGTGCACCGTCTCATCTCTCATCTCTGAACCAACAATAAAAACACAAGATTACAGAGTAAATAAATGCTACCCATAAACCTTCTTTTCTTCTTGTATGAGATGTCTATACAAGCTGTGTAATGGGTATTCCTTTTTGTTTCAAATGTCAAAAGAAAAAACAAATGTAAGCCACACAGTGACGAGTATAATTAAGCTACCTCATCAATGTCAAGAAGGAATCTAGTCATTTTCTTAATGGACTCGATTCAACGCTTCACTTTTATTTGTTGATGTAATATAGAACTTAGACGGAACTTGACTTAATAAGTTCAATTCAGAATTACAACTAACACTTAGAGCAGTTTACATTATAATTTTCTGGCAAAAAGTAAAATTAAGTTGAATCGGTTCCATATATCAATTTCTGAAAATTTCATAGATTAAAAAAAAACCAACTTAACTAAATTATTTATGGCTCGTACTGTTATAAGAACAACTATATATATAAGTAAAGGAGCTTTGTAGTTGTTGCATTAGAGACCATATTGAGATTGATATATTTTTTTTGGTTAGTACATGTGCTTTTACGCTTGAATATGGTCAGTACTCAGGTTAACTCTCTCATAACTTCAAGTTTGAAATCGGATAATTTTTCAAATGAAGTTTACATAATTTCTAATTACAAATCTCTTTACTTTTTATATAACGATCACCGAAATGTAATCTATTTGTGCTAATCTAACCGTCCATAGATAACAGAGGTTGATATTTTAATTATCAATAAATTAGTTTTCCTATTGGGTTAGACATAGTGAGTGACTATGGCTAGCATATTATTCTTAGTTAATAAATATTATTTTTAAGTTGATTTAAAAAATAGAAAAAGTAATTGATCTAGAACTAAAATACTAATTTGAATACAAACTCTAATCCAATACAAATTATAATCCAAAACTTGTTGGCATATGCTGTTATTCTACTTTGATAGGGCTCTTACAGTACAAAGGAACCGACTCCTTTCCTTTCTTCTCCAAACTTTTTTAATTTGCTTTTTCTTTAGACAAGTACTCGTTTGTTTCGTAGCGGTTTCCAGAGAGAGAAGTTGATTGATGGGGCACACAATTAGCTAAAATAAAAAAGCAACCATTCCTCAATCATACCACCCCAAATAACAGAAAACAAGAAACACTTTCTTGACCATGGAACCAATTGCTTCTATTAACATGCATTCTCATCATTGTCTAGAATTAGAAATACCCGCCATGGAAATTCACCAAGTTGTATCGCCACCCCATAGAAGCACAATTCAAAAGCTCAAAACCAGACTTAAAGAAACTTTCTTTCCCGATGACCCTTTGCGCCAATTCAAAGGACAACCCTTTAACAAGAAATGGATTCTCGTTGCTCAGTACGTTTTCCCTATTCTTCAATGGGGCCCTAATTATAATCTCAGCCTTCTCAAGTCTGATATTGTTGCTGGTCTTACCATTGCCAGCTTAGCCATTCCACAGGTAATCACTAAATGTATTATTATTATCCAAATGTTTTCTTATTTGTTGCTTTTTTTTTTTCTTTTGTTTATTTATGCAGCGGAAGAAAACAAAAAGGATTCTTGCTTTTCTTTAGTGTTAACCTTTTCTACAACATTAGATCTTTCTTTTTCTTTTCCTCAGGGTATTAGTTATGCTAAGCTTGCTAGTCTACCTCCCATTGTGGGTCTATGTGAGTCTTCTTTTCTTTTTCTTACTTCATTTATTTAAAATTTTCATTTTTAGCATCTGTAATCATTGTGTTGAAGTTGGATTTACTTACATATATATATATACAGATTCAAGCTTTGTTCCTCCTCTTGTATATGCTGTTCTTGGAAGCTCAAGAGATCTTGCAGTGGGCCCTGTTTCCATTGCTTCCCTTATATTGGGATCAATGCTTAGACAAGAAGTATCTCCTACTACTGATCCTCTATTGTTTCTTCAACTAGCTTTTTCTTCCACTTTTTTTGCTGGTCTATTTCAAGCTTCTTTAGGATTGTTAAGGTGGGTTTGATGTTTCTTTATTTCTTCTTTTTCTTTTCTTTTAATTATTTTCTGAAAGTTAGTTAAATGGTTTCCTTCTACAGGCTGGGATTTATTATTGATTTTCTTTCAAGAGCTACTCTGATTGGATTCATGGCTGGAGCTGCTATTATTGTGTCTCTGCAACAGCTAAAAAGCCTTCTTGGAATCACTCATTTTACACAGCAAATGGGTCTGGTTCCTGTCTTGACCTCTGTTTTCCACAACACTCATGAGGTAAATTATATGTATATATATCATTTACCAACTAATAATTACTACTCAAAGCTTTAACGTATTTACATCTGACTTTGATCGCCAAGTACGAAATATGAGCATATTCTAATTATATATATATATATATTATTTTGAGCAGATAAATTAGTTTTGACAGCAAAAATAATTTGATTTTTGTTTTGCAGTGGTCATGGCAAACAATACTAATGGGGGTTTGCTTTCTTGTGTTCCTTTTAGTGGCAAGATATGTTGTATGTTTTTTCCTCAATCCCTTTTTTATGTTAATACATGCTTTAATTATTTTAGTTGAAAAGATAATTAATAGTATAAATCGCATATTAATATTTTTTTCCATTTACTTTATAAAACATTTCGAATAAAAGCAATTATTATTAATTAATCATTAGTATCTTATTTCGATGAAAGAGAGGTGTTATCTGTTAATAGGTTTTTTCTTGAGCATGCAAGCAAGTGGAATTATTATGATATTTTTTTAATATTAAAATTGAATCGAATGGAATGATTGAAAATTTTAGAAATTAAAATTAAATCAAAACCATTTTATTTGAGAATGAAACAAAAGGACTGAAAAAAAAAAAAATCAATTTTTGTCTGTTGAAACGAATAATTGCATTTGCAGGCATGGAGACACCTACATCTATCAACTCGAGATTTCGTCGTGGACCGTTTTGTTGTCTATATTTACCAACTTCCCCGCCCCCAGTTTTAAAATTTTATGAAATTTGTCATGTGTACAAATCTTATCTACAACTGTGGAACACCCATATTTTGAAAAAAAAAAAAAAAAATCCATGTGACTATGCTTTTTGTGTTATGTATATATATATATATATATATATATTTATCTCCAATCATTATTTCAATAAAAAATAATAGTTAGTAATAATATGTGCTTTTTAGAGTTTATAAGTGTCTTTTTTTAATAAATCAAACTCCTAACTCTTACAGAGATGACTAAACGATGTCAGCCATTCCTGATGAATGTAGAGAAATGACAGTTTGATTTCCTAATAAATGTTAATATTGGGACGTGTGCCCTGCAGAGCATGAGAAGACCAAAACTATTTTGGATTTCAGCTGGAGCCCCTCTTGTTTCTGTGATTTTATCTACTCTCCTAGTTTTCGCATTCAAGGCCCAGCGTCATGGGATTAGCACTGTGAGTTTCTTATCATTAGCACTATAAATGGAACCAATATAAAGTATAATACTTGGCATGATCAAGAATGTTATAATAAACTTATAAACTGTTCATTCTCGTCATTAACAAATTTTATTTGGATTGAAATTATTAGATTGGAAAATTACAAGAGGGATTGAACCCTTCATCATGGAACATGTTACAGTTTCAAGGAAGCCACCTTGGACTAGTCATAAGAACTGGCCTTGTTACTGGCATCATCTCCCTCACTGTAAGTTTCCACAAATCCTGTTTATAGCCTGGAATTCCACTCACCTGTTTATACAAGTGACACACAGAATAAATTAGCATTTGCCTATAAACAGGAAGGCATAGCTGTAGGGAGAACTTTTGCTGCTTTAAAGAACTATCAAGTGGATGGTAACAAGGAAATGATGGCAATTGGACTAATGAACATAATTGGCTCATCAACTTCCTGTTACGTCACAACAGGTGCAATTACCCTCCCTTTTTCTTTTTTAATTGGAGAGAAAAAGAAGAAGAAATGTAGCCATTTCAAGCATTTCTAACATAAATTTGATTTTCAGGTGCATTTTCGCGGTCTGCTGTGAATCATAATGCGGGTGCCAAAACAGCAGTATCTAACATTATAATGTCAGTGACAGTGATGGTGACTCTCCTCTTTCTGATGCCTCTATTCCAGTACACACCAAATCTGGTATTGGGTGCTATAATTGTAACAGCAGTAGTTGGCCTCATAGATATTCCAGCTGCTTACTTGATCTGGAAGATTGACAAATATGATTTCATTGTTCTGTTATGTGCATTCTTTGGTGTTATTTTCATCTCTGTCCAAATTGGCCTTGCAATTGCAGTAAGTTATCATCCATCAGTTAGTTGCCTACCCTAAATGGGACATATGAAACTGATAATTATGAATTGATTACCAGGTAGGAATATCTGTGTTCAAGATCCTCCTGCAAGTTACAAGGCCAAAGACAGCGATCCTGGGAAACATAGCAGGGACAGATATCTACCGCAATATTCACCATTACAAGGAAGCCATAATGGTTCCTGGTTTCATCATTTTAAGCATTGAAGCCCCTATCAATTTTGCTAATACAACTTACCTCAAAGAAAGGTTGGTTAATGCATTAAAAGTTTAACTAAAAATATCTATACACTTCATATCAGGACTTTTTACTCTCTCTTTTATCCTCTAAATTGGTTTTCCTCTGACAGGATTCTGAGATGGATAGAAGAATATGAAGCACAAGAAGATGCAAAGAAACAAGCAAGTAGTCATTTCGTGATTCTTGACTTGACAGGTAAAAATTTTCCACAAAATTTTCTGCAATTCATTTGAAATTTCATATTTCATGTTTGGCATAAATAAAAATGTGTTAATTTTACTCCAAAAAACAAAAGTTTGTCGAACTCAATATAACTAAATTCTGTCATTTATAATTTAATTGTATACTTCGAATGCTCACATACCAAATAAAGGGTAAATGCAGAAAAATCTAGAAAGAATTGAAGTTTTCTTTGTCTTCTCATTTCTAATTATAATCTTCATTTAATGCAATAACAAAAGTATCTGAAACTATAATAAAAGCGCAGTCTTAGTATTCACCATGTAATCTACCTGAATGTATGTACCTGTTGTATCTTTCAGCTGTGAGTGCTATTGACACAACTGGAGTCTCACTCTTCATGGATTTAAAGAAAACAATGGAAAATAGAGGAATTGAGGCAAGTAAAAATGCTTCTTTTTTTCCATTAAATGGTTTAACCGTCTGGTAGCTAATTGTTCTGTGGTTTTGATTGATCATTGGCATCACAGCTAGTGCTAGTGAATCCTGTTGGAGAGGTGATAGAAAAGCTGCAAAGAGCTGATGATGCTCGCAATATCATGAAGGCAGAGACCCTTTACTTGTCAGTTGGTGAAGCTGTCGCCGCACTTTCATCTACAATTAAGGGTCAATCATCAAGCCAAGTATAACAAGATTACTCATTTCACAGAAGAATAGAGAAAAAGAAAAATCAAAATGTATCAAATAGTCTATATCCATTTAAAGTTTTGTAACTTCCATTGTAACTTAATTAGCTTAACATATGCCTTTCTCACTGCTCTTGTAAAAAGATAAAAGAAGTCGAGTACCTTCTTCCATCACATGAAAGCTCATCGATGTGTTTCCAGCTCTGCAATGAAAGTGGACTCCTGAATATTAATTTCCAATAATATTCTTATGCATATCTTCCTTGTCATTAACCTTCACGAGGGAGGAAACAGTTTTTTTTGGAGAAAATATGCATGGTTAGACTCTAACCGTGTTTCAGTTGAACCTGGTTAAGCTCTTTTTTTATCTCTGGATCCAGTGAGGGCCTGCAAAACTACGGCTCGGATCTGTTTAGTCTGGTATAGGCCCATATTTAAAAAGAGCAAGTGATAATTAAAGCCGAAAAGCAGACCATAAATGGATCAGAACCCAACCCATTTATGAATGGCCTGGTCTTTCTACGACATCTTTCCAAACTATGGGTGCAAAAAGCGACCTGTCATTTTACCGAGATTGGGGAGTAACTTTACTTGAAAAATTGTAGCCTAGGAGCAGCTGTACGGCTGTCTTAGGGAGCTCATCTCGGATTGGATTTGGCATGGAAACGAGCGAGTATTTTTTTTTTTAAGAATGAATGAGTATTTTAGAGTGCTCATTTCAGGTTGGATTTGGCATGAAATTGAGTGATATAGGAGCGGGATGAGTATTTTAGAGTACTCGTTCCAATTTGGAATGAAAATGGATATTTGATTTAAATTTCTAAATATTCATTGTTCATTGTTAAAAGTTTGGATGTTAATACATAAACGGATATTCAAAGGATTGTATTTGATATCAACTTTTTAAGCAATTCGCGGTTTTAATTAGCTTTTAAAAATAATATTTTATAAAAAATTAATTTATATTAAGTTTAATTTTTAATTTTTTTATAAAAAATTACTTAAACAAGCAACTTAAATCTAACCGCTGCCGAAACGGCCATAAATACTGTTTAAAACCGCGGATACCTGTCCTGAGCGGAAAGGAATAAATAGTGAACTGGTTCGCTAATCGGCTATCATTCGCTCCCAAAATACGGTTTCTGTTACTAGGAATGGGGAAGAGCAAGTCGCCGGATCCTCCCAGCTTGCAAAAGTACGGCTTCCCTCTCTATTCAGCTGCTTGGGTTCCCTTGAGGGAAGTCAGATCCAAGCTCCAATCTCAAGATCATCAACAATCCGACGGCAAAGATAAAGATTCCAGTGAGGAATCCACTCCTCCTCCTGCTGATCAGCAGGCAATCGCCGACGAATACTACGTCGTTCTTACTGGAGGTGGCGGAGAAGGCCGTAGTGGTATCCCCAACGCTATAGTTCTTGCTCGTTTCGATTTCGCCACCAACACTCTCTCTGCTCAGCCTGTAAGTTGAAGATTTTTTTTCTTATAGAGAAATCCAAATTTGTTTTCGTATTTGAATTGTATTCTGAGTGAAACTTATTTGAGTTATTTACGGTTATTGATGATCTATGTATCTTGAGCATCCATTAAGCTCGTGTTTTCATCTAATTGCCTGGAAGCTGTGATATTATAGTTTCAATATGCTGCTTTTAGCTGTCTTTTAGAATGACTTGATTTGCAGGGCTATTCCGAATATCTTTGGTTGTATTTTCGTGCGCATATAATTTTGTTCTCTCTATGCTGTAGTTTATTTGCCGATCAGTGTTTCAGTTCTATACTTGATTATTACAGCTTAAAAGACGTTTTTTTTTTTTTTTTTTTTTTTGATATATTGCTTGCTTTCTACTGTCTTTAGAATGGCACTAGATTTGCAGCGGCTATTCCGGAATATCTTTTTAGCGGTTGTATTATCGTGCCCGCCATATAATCTGTTCTCTCTATTGCGTAGTTTTATTTGCCGATCAGCTGCTTTCAGTCTCTATACATGATTATTACACGCCTTAAAAAGCAGTTTTTTTCTTTTTTTTTTTTTTGGCTAGCTAGACTATTTGCCATATGCAAATTCAATGATTTGTGTGCGCTTTGGCTGCAATTTTTATCCGCGGTTCAGTTAGAAATTTGATCTAACTCAATGTTCTTTTCTCTGGCAGTTTTTAGATTTCATTTGCTAGTGTTAGAATTTATGTTGCGCAGAATTTGCAATGCATGTGACTTTCCTCTCTTTTATTTTCCTAGTATGTTTTGGACTTTCATATTGAGCTGTGTTTTTAAGTATGTGCCTATTACAATTTTACTTGTAAGGCCTTGTTATTATTATTGCTTTGTACAGTGGGTAGGGCAATTCAATTCAAACTGTTTTTCTATTTCTGTTATTAGACATGCACTTGTTGTGCTATACTATTGCTCCTCTCAATGCTTTCATCCCCGCCGACCCTAGCTAAGCTTGCGACTAGCGCTTCTTTGAATGGCCTTATAGAAAATGGTTGTTCACCAGCGGGGGGGTGGGTGGATCGATGGAGATGACTCAATTTGTGCATTGCCCAAAAAGCTCGGGTAATTTTGTATCCATACATACTCTTTTACGTTTCTGTCTTTGACATCCTTGTTTAACAAAAAGTTTTTTTTTTTTTTTTTTTTTTTGGCTTAGCTATGACATTTGCATTGCAAATTCAATGATTTGTGGCTTGGCTGCAATTTTTATCCGCGTTTCAGTTAGAATTGATTAATCAATGTTCTTTCTCTGGGAGTTTTTTAGATTTCATTTGTAGTGTTAGATTTATGTTGGAGAATTTGGCAATGATGTGACTTTCCTCTCTTTTATTTTCCTAGTATGTTTTGGACTTTCATATTGAGCTGTGTTAGGTATGTGCTATTAGAATTTTACTTTGTAGGCCCTTTATTATTATTGTTTGACAGTGGGGTAGGCATTCAATTCAACTGTTTTTATTCTGTTATTAGACATGACCTTGTTGTGTATACTATTGTCCTCTAATGTTTCAGGTAGCTAAGCTTGGACTAGGTTCTGATGTGCCTTATAGAATGGTTGTTCACCCAGCTGGAGATGGACTAATTTGTGCATTGCCAAAAAGCTGCCGGTAATTTTGTATCCATACATACTCTTTTACGTTTCTGTTCTTGACATCTTGTTAACAAAAGTTTTTAGGAGAAATTATATGCATTAATCCTTTAGTGTAGCAACGCAAGCACACCCAACCTTGTGTCATGTAGAGTAGAAAATAAACTAGATACATGAAGTATAAACTCTGTTCCCTTTCCTTTCCATTTAATGCATGATGTTTAACTTAGCATATCCTATTTTGGGTTGCTTCAATCCACTACTAGTGCCATTTATTTTCTGAATGGTTATGTTGTGAAATGCTAGTCTTCATGAATCTTTTATATCGTTACCACTTGTAATATCTTCTTGTTTTAGCGATGAGTCATAATTATACCATGTGTAACATCCATTCGTATTTTGTAGAGTTAGTTTATTCTACCTGACCATGTGCACCTTTCATCTTATATCCTTTAACTCTGATTTCCTAGTGAAACATCAGATAAGTATGTTAGATAAGGAACTGTGAACTCTGATGGGGAATGTAAACAATAAATCACTTTAACACTGTTGAATAGTTGGGTTCCATGAACAAAGATGTTCAGAATATTTTGAGGCAGATGATTGAGATTGGAATTACATCGATGATAATAGTGTTTAAGGCTTTTGTACTAGCATGTAAGAAATAAATTTAGAACAAAATTAAACGTAAGCTGCAACGATTATCCTTTACAGTTAACTTCAGTGCATACTAACCTTTATACAAGTTGTAATCTGACTCATAATAAGCACTTCCATGTTTTATCTTTGCTTGCAGTTAATTTTTTGCAGTTATTAAACAATTATTATTCTATTGTTAATTTGTTATGCTTTCTTTGTCTAGGTATTTCGACTGGATTGAAGTCAAGGACAATGATAACCTCAAATTAGATCTAAAAGAGTCAGGAAAAGTGCTCAACCAATTAGAAGACATTGGAATGCAGCTAGCCTTGGCCTTTAACAGTGATAGTTCTGCACTTGCTGTTGGTGGCGAGGTAGGGATATTCTATTGGTTTTTTGTTAAATTTTGAATAGATTTTCTTTGTTCTTTAAACATAAGGAAAAAACAATGGGAAGGCAACACCTTTCATGTTTGTGTTATTTCCAAAAGAAGTGGTTGTCTACAAAGTATTGCTTGTAAGTTATCTAGAACCAACCACAAAGTTGCAACATGAGAAACTGCTTAGTACTTCTTCATACTGTTTGGTTTCTAGAAGAAAATTTTTGCTTTTTGAATATTCTTATCCATTTCCTTGTTGTTACAACTTGCATTACTTTTGCACATTCATATATATATATATTCTCCAAGGTGTAAGTATTTTCCACCTTCCATGGAGGATTTAAGACCTGCCTTTGGACACTCACCTCTGCGTTGAAGTATTAAGGCTTCACTATTAACTGAAATCGTTAGTTCTTATTCCTTAGGTTCAGCTTTGTTCTTATGGGCACTGGTTTTGGAATAATTATCCCTTTTTCTGAGATAGAATCCATATGATAATCTGATTTATTGCAGTACAGGATGGCATTTTAAGGGTTTTCAAGTGGCCTAACATGGAAATTATTCTTGAAGAGACAGAAGCTCATCCTTCTTTAAAGGACTTATGTTTCAGGTATTGCAACTATGGTAACAAAGTTAAGATATGTATTCCCTGAAACCAGTAAGAGTGAAGAGGTTGTAATCTCTTTATGCTGATATAACTTAACTGAATTGCAGCCCTGATGGTAACTTTCTTGTTTCCTTGGGAGGTCGTCGCCCTGGAAGGGTTTGGGATTTGACTTCTTCAACAGCAGTAGCTTCATTATCAAGGGAAGATGTAAGCAATAAGTCATAATTTCTGGAGCTAATTACAATTTTCATCCCTTAAGTATACTGCTTTAGTCACACCTGCACATCAAGGATATTGATTTCTGCTTCTTGATATGCGGTCATAATGATAATATTGAAGGGAATGCATCCTGGTGGTTTGGGAACCTTAGATTATTTGTATACCAACAAATGGCTCTGAATTTATTTGTGTAGAAAATTCAATATATTTTTCACTATTGGAAAATTTCCATAGCCCTTTTTTTTCAGCTAATCAAGTTAATTTCTGTTAATTGGGTATTGAGCTAGCTGGAATGTTGTGTTACCTCCAGGATGAGGTTTTTGCCTCTTGCAGATTTTCTGAAAGCAGTGATCAGAGTCGGGTTCTTTACATTGCTGCAATAACAGGTCATTTCTTAGTATTGAACCTTTTTTTCTCAAAATGGTAAAAAAATTGTACTTTTTGACCTTGATGGTCTACAAGTAAATCACTATAAACTTTTTTGTACATAGACAAAGGTGGAAGTATTTTGAAATGGGACACAAACTCATGGAAGAGGATTAGCTCAAAGCATATAACTCGTGACCCGGTTTCTTCCCTCGATGTCTCACCTGATGGAAAGTTCCTTGCAATGTACTTGATCTTCATCTTGTTACTTCAGTTGCTTGACCTCATTTAGCAAGTACCTTATCATAAAAATTTATTCCTTCCTTTATGATTGACATACAGTGGTACCATTCAAGGAGATGTAATGCTTATAAATTCAATCAGTATGCGGGTTCAGACTGTCATTAAGGAAGCACATATTGGCGTGGTAACAGCATTGGCGTTCTCCCATGATTCAAGGTCAGAAGTCGAAATTGGTCCCACTTTAAACTTTATTCGGGTTCATTCCCTTCCAGGAATAATATTTGTTAGTGTAATATGAGTTTTCCTTCAAATTTTCTTTTGATTGAAATATCTGACATTTGAATTCAGGGCATTGCTATCTGCATCATTGGACGCAAGCGCAAGGGTGACACTAGTTGAGGACAAGAAAAGTGGTATGTACTTTGATAACTTCTTGTTGAATAATCATCGTAGACTTGCTTGTTTGTTATTGTCTTAGGATAAACGTAGGGTAGGAACTAGTTGTCAAATGTTTTGAAAGGACATTTGTTGAAGAAAAGAGTACATATAAGTATGAATGCAGCTAAATGCCCCCAAAAGTCCTTTTTTTTCCTTTTTTTTTTTTTTTTCTTTTGGAGCTTTAGGCCCCAATAAGTTAGGGAGGATGATTTCAAAATATTAAGAGAGATGAAACTAGTTGTAGAGAAACATGCCAGCAAATAATATAGATTTGAGACAATTGAGGATATTCGCTCTTTGCCTTGTATTTGTAGTTCACATTTCTTATCTTTCTTCCTTTTCCTTTTTCAGGTGCAGGAGGAGGATCAAGTTTGTGGATCACTATATTCATAATTCTAATAGCAATTGCTGCCTATTTCATGAAGAATGAAGGACTTCTTCCTTTTTTTAGTTAGTACACAATTGCCTTGCTGATTAACTGAGAACTTTTGCCTCTTTTCATGTCAGAAAATCAGAGCTTATCTAAATCATGACAATATTCATGAACGTGATGGTTTTATTTGTATGTGACTGATATGTTACTGTACAGACGCAGTGTCGTTTTCGGTTTTGTTAATGGAAAAATAGGTTTTATGCATTCTTTTGTTCTTTTTTATTTATATATTTTTTAAATTCAAATGGTTCAGTGGTAGTGGAAGGTAGCATATCCACAATAATGCGTGAAAGGGAAGAGTCAAGCGGAGTAAATCAGTTTTGAAAGATGGAAATGAGTTAAAGGTACCTCTCTGCTATGCTTGTCATCAACGACTAACTGAAACGATAAGCCATGTAGAAACAAATGTCAAAATTTTGCGAGTTGCACTTGGCTTTTCGGCCTGTCGTATAACCAATAGTTCATATATTGAGAAGGATAATAAATGTTAAATGTCTGTGTCATCTTAAACAGCTAAATGCTGTTTAATACACACATACACATTATTGCTAATCAAGATAAGTCATGGGAAAGGACCAAAAAAAAAAAAAAAAGAAAAAAGCTTTATGTAATCAATAATCAGTTATGGAGTAGTTCTACATAATCAGCTATTTCATACTCATCCCAAGTAAAATATTTACAGAAGGGGATAACTAAACTAAACAATACGCTTTGTTTTCTAGTAATTCAAGAAAAATAGTGGAAAATTGATCGCCAATCAATTCTGTTAGAAGTTCCCTGTTAGACTCAATATTGCCGCTGATTTGCCCATGTAACCTGTGGAGGGCCCTGGGGCAGTAGAACTGAACCTTTCTTTGGAAAAGATAAAGCATTACATTATAAAAAATGTTCATTGGCGTTGCCTTTGATAAAGGGAATAACCAACAAGAGCAGACATCAGAAAGGTCCATAAAACCTGCCAGATAGGACTGCATCAGAGGCTGCCATAAATTCAGGGGCTAATGGGAGAAGAAAAGAAAAGGCAAGAAAAAAGTTGAAACGAAACAATATTAAGCTGTTTGTCAAATGAATGAGAACAGCCATATCTAATGGATTTGGAATTGGTAATGCAGAATTCAGATCCATCTCGACCCCCCAGAAAAAAAAGAAGTCAAGAATATTATATAATGTGTAGTAAGTACCGAGTTGATCGTCTGCCATCTTTCCAGCCTCTTGATTCGGGACTGCATATCCTCGATTATGCCTCCTATAGGGGTAGCTTCCCTACATGGGGAGGACTCTGAAGCTGAGTTGTTGCCCTGCCAATTTAACCACATTATTACCTTTTTCTTTTTGTTAGAACATTCATGATATTACTAAATGCAGAAATTCACAGATCAACTTGCAAATTGCTTCCATGTCCCTCCTCTTTGAACTTAACATTAGAGCATCTGGACTACATATCCAGAGATTTTAGGATAACAATAAACGATATGAAAATTTTAGGACCGTACAGTTTTCGACAAACTCTACTTTCGACAAAATGGCCCTTGCAAAGTGGGGAACCTTGTGTATTACGAACATCCTCCATATGTTTATTATCCCATCTAACCATGGTAAAATACCTGAGATTGTATAAACTCAACAAGTTCCTGCAGTTTTGCAGTTTGCTGAGAGTGAATTCCACTGGAACTAGTTCCCATTGCCGGTAATCTCTCCAAAATGATTTGCAGATAACTCTGGAAGTATTTAGGAAAATGAAAAGAACAAACCAATCAATTAGAAATTATACCATTGCTGCAGATGCTGCTAACAGGAAAAGAGACAATGACTATAATAAATAAAACCAATGAAGGCAAAACCTTTGTTGTATATGAACCATCCAGTTTAAGTGTTGAACCAGCAGTCGCCACAGCATCCTTATTAACACCTTTGATCTGTATATAAGGACTAGGGATATCTTGTAGATGATCGACCTCAATGAGAATCTAAAATTCAGAATCAAATATTACTACTTAGCCCATGCTTATGACGAGCTATATTAGAAGCAAAACCAAATTGCATAAGAAAGAAAACTAATAAAACAAGTCCTTTTTCTTGGAAGGATGATAAAGATACGCTCATAAGTGCAGACACCATAAATCTCACTAATAAACAGTAACTATATGCAACCCCAACAAGCAAACATCATAATAACAGCAACAACTTTTCTGACGATAGTAAATCAACTATAGCAGAATTAAAAGCAAGAAGTTCCAGAAGCTAAGTTAATCAATTGAGAATATCTGGTGATTGGTCAATAACGGGTCACTTGTTAACATTGAATTCCTACATTACACGCCACAAGGCAAAACTGCACAAAGAAATAATGTGATAGCAGAACATCGAGTGAGAGAGTCAGAAAGTAGAAAAATTTAAACTTTTCTTACAAACCAAAAGGGAACGGCCACAAAACGGAGGTATGTACACCTACTCAATTAAAAAGCATTCAACTAGAAAGCATGTCTAAATAAACACATCCACATATATAACCTTCCCATCTTGGTGGATAAATGCAGAAGCTTCAATGTAGGCTACAGCTTGATACCTGATGTCATAAAAATAAAATACAAAAGATAAAAAAAAAAAAAAAAAAAAAAAAAAGTTAATCAACTTGAGAATATCTGGTGATTGGTCAATAACGGGTCAACTTGTTAACAATTGAATTCCTACATTACACGCCACAGGCAAAAACTGCACAAAAGAAACTAATTGATAGCAGAACATCGGGTTTTAGAAGAGTCAGAAAGTAGAAAAATTTAAAACATTTCTTACAAACCAAAAGGAACGGCCACAAAACGGAGGTATGCTAAACCTACCTCAATTAAAAAAAGCATTCAAACTAGAAAGCCATGTCTAAATAAACACATTCCACATATATAAACCTTCCCATTCTTGTGGATAAATGCAGCAAGCTTCAATGTAGGGCTACAGCTTGTATACCTTGATGTTCACTAAAAAATTAAAATTACAAAAAGATAAAAAAAAAAAAAAAAAAAAAAAAAGAAAGAACAAACACTTTATGGACTTAATGTTAGCATTATATCTAGCAGTAAAGCATTTTAAAATGAACTAAGAAGGAAAGGCTAAACTTTAAAAAAAAAAAAAAAAAAAAAAAAAAAAAAAAAAAAAAAAAAAAGAACAACACTTTAATGGACTTATATGTAGATATATCAGCAGTAAAGCATTAAAATGAACTAAGAAGGAAAGGCTAAACTTCAAAATAATAATAATAATAAAATTATCTTAATTATTTCCAAAATAGTTGTGTTGTATGTATATGTTTTCAAAATTTGCATTTAGCTCAATCTGTTTAAAATACTGGAAGGCACAATAATTGTTCTACATTAAATACCAGAACACACAAGATATCTCCCAAATGCTATGATGATAAACAGAGGGTGGATCTTGAGATCTAACAAACTGAAGATGTCCTGGACATATCAGCTCTCTTACATAAAGTCACATGGACATAGTAAATGTAGATTCACTCCTTTAAGATACTTCTTCAAATGTAAATCCCCTCATCAGGAACCATACATGCACCGTTTGCAACAAAAAATTTGCAATTGAAATCAAGTTATGTTCACCATTTTCATATTTCGGTACCATGAATGGAAAAGCATGTAAAAGTTTAAAATAGCCAATGTTTGAGTGTAAATTTGACAACTGAACTAAGAAGCAGATTCACAGGTTGACAGGAGATGTGGTTAGTGGGGCAGAAGAGTTGTAGTGGATGGATAATGGCTTCCCCACCCCCCAAACCCCCATTTTTTCGCTTGCTCAGTTCATGGACAGCCAGTTTGTACATATGCCTAATCACAGTTGCGAAATAAATTCAAAAAAATAATAGTTGTCTCCTTAATTAGTGATGAAAATATGTTTTCAATGGAATGAAAACAAAGTTACCAAGAATTCATTCCACTTTATGGGAACAGCTTACCCAAGGTTAAGAAGACCAGCAACAGTACTAATGCTAATATCGAAATCCACTTTAGGCTGAATGATGAAATCCCCTTCTCTTATAGGCTACATACATTCATTAGAAAATAGAAGTCACGCCTTCAATATGGCATCAAAGCACATAGTAACAAGGGGAAATCTCTCTGATCAACTTCAAAAAAGTCAGCACAAACCTCCCGTATCAGCAACGCAAATCTACCCTCACAAATTCTGACACGTATACAGTCATTCTCTGTCAACTCTCCATTAACAGGAATTCCAGGGAGCCTCAAGTATATATCAGTGAAATTCTGAGTTGCTCTGCAATACTTTGCCGGATCGAGGATTTTTAGAATATCTTGGTAAGCCACCTTCATTGATAACAAACACAAGCCTGTCAGATGAAAACCTCCAACACAACGGGATGCTAGGACTGAAGCCAATAATGCACTTACTTGCTTGTTACTCTTCAAAACAAATAATGAACTCTCAGGGGAAAGCACAGGGTCAAAGTCATTGCGAATTTTGAGCTGCAAATGTTGCAAGAAAATTTTTTTATTGTGAAAGCAGAAACTGACCTTCAGGAGTGCACCGCAATAGGAAATGAATATTACTCTGAGAATGCAATGATGCATGCAACAGGCGTGAATAATATATCCATGCATGCAGACATACGCAGAAATGAATAGAGCATCTAAATTGAAAGATAGCTATCATTGTAAAAAGGCCTGAAACAAAGGCACTTTACAAGGTAATTATAACTTTAATGAATCAGTCCAGTCACAATAACAACATTTTTCATTTTCTCTAGTTCATAAGCTATTCATGATGAAAAATTTATGATTAATTGATTGGAAAGTAGAATGGATGTCACTTATGGTTCATGTGATAACCAAGGAAACCCTCTTTTTTTTTTTTCCCCTCTCACTAAAGAGATCAAAATAATTTTCATTACATCTTATACATATTACAAAGATTTCTCAGGAGACTTTTATTTTTACTAGAAAATCGGTAATGAATGTACAAGTGTGTTTAGATTATGACTAAAAATTAAAACAAGGAATCTCTTTATGATAAATAGATTAATTTTTCAAATCTTGGCAGTACTTTTACATTCCATACTAATCAAAAGTAAAACAATGAAGGGTCAGAAGCTTTCAACTAACATGTGCATGAACAAGATGCGGTTCAATATGTTGTTGGAACATCGGAAACACTGTCATCATGATCTCTTTTTGGGACATAAAGCACCCAACTCTACTTTTGTCCCTTTGAACCCGAGAAATCAGATGCGAATGAACACCCCCAACCTGGTTTTGCAAACAATGATGCTAAGCTACTCTTTTCCAAATCAACAACTGAAACTGCCCATATGAAAAAATAGATAATATATATACACATATAGTAAACAGCTAAATCATCTTACAACAGCAATCCACAAGTCAAGAGATTTCCGAATGTCTGGATGCAGAGCATAGACCCCTTCAAAAATAATCTGGTAAAGAAAAAAACAAAAAAGAAAGAAGGAAAAAACTTGAGTCTGAGGATTACTTAAACAAAGTGAACCTGCATAAGTTAAAATAATTAGATTGCACATTTTGTGCAACTTATAAAGTAGAGACCCTGTCATTTTACTATTGGGATAACCCAGCACTTCAATACAACTTCAAAGTTTCTTTATCTGCCATACGCTATCTCCAAAAAAAATTTATTCAAATTGCTAAAGAAATAAAAAAAAAAAAATAAAAAAAAAAAAAATACGCTATCTCAAAAAAAATTTATTCAAATGGCTAAAGAAATAAAAAAAAAAAATAAAAAAAAAAAATAGAACATGGAATCAATGACACCAAAAAAAAAAAAAAAATAAAAAAAAAAAAATGAGAACATGGAATCAATGACACAAACAAGCAGAAACTATTAAGTTTAAAAATTCTCAACAACAAGAGATTAGCAACTGGATGACACAAAAAGGATTAATAGTTAGAGCCCGGGACGTGTCAATTTCAAATTTCTAGAATATTCATCTTCTAGCGACAGAAAATGAAAACAAGGATTGAAGTTTTTCTCAATCATGGTGTTCCTAGAAGAATCTTAAGTTGCAAAAGTCTTTATATTCCCAATTTGTATTTTCTCCAGAAAATAAAGAAAGACAATGTATAACCTGTCTCACTTTCATCCATTTTTATATGACCAACATTTTGATAAACACAGTAAAGGATACTTTTCCAGATATCTTATAATGCAGATGGCCAGCCCATTAGGTTTAGTAAGTTCTATGGAATGTCTTAGACTAGGCTTGATTTGCAATAATTATTTACAATTGACGGCAAATGACAGAATAAGGTGCCTCAATAATGTCAAACCTATATAATCACCTAATGGAAAAATTTTTTTTAATCCCCAAATCCCCAGAACTATGGTATGGACCACCAGTTCACAACCTAAATGCCTGATGAAACAGTGTACTGCCCCCTTGCAGCATTCCTAGCTTCCTAACAACTTCTGGATTTTTAAGTTAGAATGCTGTCTAGTGATAAAAATCTGAGCCAAACTTGATATAGACCCAAATTTGAGCAACATGATCAAGTGTGAAAACAAACCACGCCACAGTCTTCAGGAACTTCAAGTTCCTTGAAGCCACTGCGAGCACCAGTCTCCAAATCAAACACAGGCACTTTAGTTCTTCTACCATTCCTTGTGTCGTCAATATTCTGCAAATAAATGACAAAAAAGTTAATTGTACTACAAACGTGCATAAAGAATTTCTCCAAAGTGAAAGCATAAACAAAAAATGAAACTTTAAATTATGAGCATTTTTCTTATCTAATTATCTGGAACTCATATCAGTGAATGGAATTTGCACCGTACTGTTGTTAATCGAAATATATGAGGCTAAAGGATGCACATCTTTCATTATTATCACATATTTCTCAAGTGAAGATGTCATTGGGCAAACGCAAAACAAAATAATTACTGAAAAGTACCAGAGTAGCAATATCATATGCATGCAATAACATTTAGCAGATGGGTTAATCTGCAGAGAAAATCTTCAAAAATTCAGCTTAAGCCTGAATTACTCGCCTTGCTTGCCAATAGATATTTTGGCAACAAACACCAAAGGAATCAACAGAAAAAGTATGAAAAAGGTAAAAATGTTAAGCCTTCCCAAGTTATAACTAATCCAGGCAAATGCTACTGAAAGAAGACAACTATTGCAAATCAAAGAGACTGATTGTATGACTCAAGTGTGAAAGATAATTAAAATATTTCTGATGTAGCCAAGAAGGGAGGGAAAAAAAAAAAAAAAAAATGTAGCACAGAAAGGGAGGGATAAAAAAAAGAAGGGAAAAAAAAAAAAAAAAGACAGAGTGAATCCCAACAGCATGGTACTCCAGGGGTTGCAATCCCTGCTTCTCCTCCCTTTATGGAAAAAAAGGAATATGTCGTCATATTCCAGGGGAATAACTGAAGGCTCAGAAAGCAGGATGCTATGTATGAATTTCCAAACAAAACCACACAAAGGAACCAGGAAGCTGCCAAATGTATCAATCTTCTGCCCTAACTGAACTGCTCAAAAAGCCAAAAAAAAACAAACCTGACCTTACAAATACTTATCAAACCAACAAATAATTTTGCAACCAATATGAAACTGTGGACATAACTGGACAGGTCAAAAAGGCTGAATAGCAGACTGGAATCAATAATAACAATTGAAAGAATCCAATTGTAAATTAAGGGACATAATGAAGAATTCCCATTATCGTGTTTGGATGGTACAGATAAATGTCATCGTAGAAATGTCCATAAAACCATGAAAAAGAAAGTAGATCATAGAACATCTAAATTCAAATTTTACAGTCTAGCATATGTCAACTTTTCCAAGTAAGATTTTCTGACCAGCCACATAACGACAGTAGTTACCAGTAGGCATCAGCACAAAAGATCTCAATAGAATTTACACACGTCTTACCTTAGCAAGCAAGGATAGATCAAGAGACCGAAAATCATCATGCTTGAAATCCTTAACTTGCTCAGATAAAAAATAGCTTTCAAGGGAAACTACTTCACAGCCAACAATATTTGCCATTTTATGAGCCAGGCTAGTTTTCCCAGATCCACTGGGACCTCCTGCAACAATAAAACATTGTAAACTTTGTGCATGTGACTGACAACACCAAAAATAAATCACTATTCGAATTCCTGTTTTCCAAATAAGAACACCTTACTATCCAAGTAGTTCGAGTACAACTTTTTTCAGAATATTTGAGTTATTATGTTATATGAAAATTTTACAACCTTTGACCAATGACGATGACAAAAATAAAGATAGCTAGCACTCATCAACCTTTTTCATTTCAGAATCACAGGTTTTAAATATTAAATACATACATGTCTCCATATGCATCTTTAATGTTCTTTTGATCCAAATTGAGGCTAAATTTAAAATACAAATATTCCAAAGCTTCCCAACTAGAAGGTAGTGATTTTTTAACAATAATTTCTGCCTATCGATTGCAGAAATTATCAAGCAAAAGAGGGAAGTAATGATTTGTCACAAAATGGATCCAGACTGCAGTGTACTGTACTGTCAAGATAAATGGGTCCTCATTAAATCATCTTTAGAATTCAATCTCATATTCTCTTTACCATCTTCAATCTAAACAATTTCAATTCTCAAAGCAAAGGTATTTTTTAAATGATATATTACCAATTCCAACTATGACAGGAGGGCCTTTGTTCTCCAACAAAGCCTGAAACAATTGAAAAAAAAAAAAATGAATCATTTCTTACAACAATATGTATACATAATAACATCTGAGACTTAACTAAACTAATCTGCAAGGAGAAATATTTATAAACTTTTTTCACTCCTTACCTGTATCGCTTGAACCGCAAGTAGTAGTCCTCTATCCAAGTCATATGAATCAGGCATTGGAACAAGTTCCATATTATCCCTGAAAGAGGAAGGATCTGTGGTTGCTTCATGAGAGAAGTCTAAACAAGAGAATATAATGACAACATTTCCACAATGCAGTTGGTTAACAAGAGGAAAAGAAAATTGTTATCATCTAGGTTCAGGAAAATTACCTACAACCGAGCTTCCAGTATGTGATGGATCTGATGATGTGAACTGCCATGTTGCTACAAAAGGCTCCCTTTGCTGTTTTGTTGGGGATCGAGTCCATGGTTGCGGTAGACCCTCAAGCTGATTAACAATATTTGAAGTAGTACGGATAGGTCTCGGGGCAGTAATTTGATTACTAGCAATGGATGTATTAGACAAAGGTGGAGGTGTACTCAGTCGTGGTACAGCTGCAAGTAGAGTTAACTAATTGGAAGTAGCAATAATCAAAACCAACAACAAATGCATAGCCAGAGTAATAGAAAAATTATGAAGCCAGGGTGTTAGAATAACTATATGAATCCAATCTCCAACCTTTTCTCTCAAGAATCAGTTCCAGATATGACTGGGAGATCCATGGCCCATTAATGCCCATCCTCAATGCCTCTGCTCCAACAGTCTATACAAGATTGAATAAAAAAGATAAATGTAACCTTGATGAAAAATCCTCCACATAAAGTGCAAAACCAAATAAATTTATAATTGTTCTTGATAGCACTCAGAACAATAATCAACCCTGCCTCTAGCAATCCACTGAATCACTCATATTCAAAGAGGTAAAATTTTGTGGATGTTTCAAGAACAAGAATTTGTTCGCACAAACGCATCGATGGAGTATAAATTGGTCTTGTTCATTTTGCTTACAAAATTTGAAGAAACTTGTTCATTTTTTCATGAAGACAATGTCAAAAACAATCTAACATTGAACTATTCCATATGCTTCAAACTTAATTTTGGCTCACCCTCAAATTTTCATTCTTTTTGTCTGTGTGTGTGAAATGCTATACTGTTTGTAAAAAAACCAAAGATTTACTCTATAAGGGGGACAATCTAATTTATGAATAATCAATATCAACAATCGCCTATTATTTTCACCATTAAACACAGGTTCTATTTATAATTCTAGTCTCAATAAAACAAGTATGTAATATACAGTTCTATTCACAATTTGGACCAATAAACAAACAAATTTTTAAAGCCTCCCAGATTTTATCCAAGCAAGAAAGATAGATTCATACTTTCCTAGTCATTCCCCTGAGCACCATAAATGTCTCACCAAGGGTGTCAATGCTTTCCAATGATAATGAAAGATTGCCATTAGTAACAAAAGTAGATTGCCGTTTATAACTGACTACAACAGTGTACCCCAAATCCAACAAACCACCAAGTGTCATTCTTCCAACCTGTCTCCATGTTAGAAGAGAAAAAATAACAGTTAATAATTCTACAAAAGATAATGAAAATTTTAGAATTCGCAGTTCTAAACAAGCATACAATTACATGCAAAACACAATATATCAAAAAAAATTGAATGCTGATACAAAACTTCAGTCTATATTTGAAATGCAATCAGTGGTACCTCAAACTCAGCTTTTGGCCTGATAATAAAATGTTTGTCAACAATCCTCTGATCACCAAGTGACAGATAGTATCTAATACCAGATTGCCGCACTTTAATCCAATCGTTGATTTGTGCTGCTTCACTTGCTGAAGGAGCCCTAAGGTACATCTCAATAAAACTGAAAACCAAGATGACTTGCAATCAGGCCCATAATATGAACGAATTCATTCTCTTCCTATTGATAATAAGTTAAGAAAGAGCAAGAACTAGGAAAACCAACTCACTTTTCTGTTTGTGGTTTTGTTCCTTGAAAGTCATAAGCAGTTAAATCTGAAGACTGTCACAACAACTTACATTGTTAATCAAAGGTGTAAATGACAAATATTAAGCAACAACTAAGCACAAATTTTAAACACAATTAAGAGGGAGAATTGAAGGCCATGTCCAGTAACAAGAAATTCAAGTAAAGATGACATTGCAGAGGACCATTTCACAAGCAACAAAAATAGAAAGCAATAAAACAAGACTTGAACCGCTCAAAAGTTTGACTAAGGCCCTGAAAAATACTATGAAACAGCCTATATCATTTAATTTCAGACTTGGGGAAGGAAAAAGAAAAAAGAAAAAAAAAAGATGCCCATTCCATTTCCTGTTGACTGAAATGAATTTTCATCAAGAAAAGATAGATCAATACTGTCAAAAGAATCCTCCGTAGGGACTCTGTTATCGTAAACATATAATAACAAACCCATTATACACAAGCAGCAGCACTTAGAAAAAACATGACACCTATGCCTAAAAAAAATTGAGCAAGCTTTGAAGAGTAATTAAAATTGCCATAAGGAAAACAAGGTTCAGCAGAGGAAAGTAGTATATCATCTATGGAATGTGATTGTACATCAAACTTCTAGCAGAAGTTCTCTTTTTGTCTAATCAAGTTCTTCTATTGATTTCTATCTGAAGCACTAAGAAGCAAGAATTTTCCAACTACGACGAAGAACATGAAATTTTGTATCCAATCTGAGATATCTCCTCTTTGCATGTTTTATGAGGTAGAGTGAGGGAGAAAAAAAAGGAAAAGAAAAACAAGAAAGTTCCTGGGCTTTCCTCAACTACAAGCAGATCTTGATTTGAAGAGCCAATAGGTAGCATCACCATTAAATTATAGCGACACAAAAAAGGGTTCGGTAATATTTCAACCAGAGCATGCACAATGACCCACTCGTACAGCAAACATTGCAGCATGAACACAGCATGGGGCACCTATTTCTTGCATGTAAATGGTAGAGGTACTGATTAATAAAGACGACAAAATAAGTACAGACCTCACTCATGCACTTCAGCTTGTAAATTGCTTCTCTAAATGAAGAGACGAAGCTGTTGTTTATCCTAATCTGCAGAAAAAACCATGACATCATTAACCAGCAGTTGAAATTTCACAATGTAAGGATATTGTGTTACCAACCTGTGCATGGTGAAGGTCTGGCTCAATGTGTTTTCTAAACAATGGGAAAATGCTGTCTATAAGGTAATCCAATGAACAAGAATCTCCTATGTCATGTCGAACTTTGGTAAGAAGACTAAAATGAACTCCACCAACCTGATCGACCAACCATAATTAGAAATAATCAAATCCATAGTTAAAAAACAACTAGTAACTCCACAGACCGTGTTCCAAATCAAACTATAACTCCTGAAGAATAGAAAAGTTACCACAGCCACACGAATATCCAGCAAAGAGCGTAATCTTGCATGCAAAGCATAGGTACCATCAACTATTACCTGTGGGCAGAATATAAAGAAATGAACTCCATGAAAGCATTGGTTAATAACAGTAACAGTTATTGCACTGACTCACCACTCCAGATGAAGCACTCTTTATTGCCTTTGAACCAACACGACCCTTTTGTTCATAATCAAAAACTGGTATTGAAGTGTCATTACCTTTAATCAAATCCTATTTTCAACATAAAACCCCACTTAAATAAGAAAACACAAGAAAACAGTACATACATTTTAAAGAAACACTCATTGCTGTAAGTAATCAGATGTGGCATTTATGGTTACTTAATAGACTAATTGCTTTGATCACCATCAGATCAGGTTTTATAATAACTCAGCCATAGTTTTCTTAGAAAATTTGGCTTACACATTACTTTTTTAGAGAACCGCAATGACAGTCAACTCAAAACTTTAGAAAGCTTTCATGTAATGTTGATGATCCAGCCAAACGCATTATACAACAGTTGAGCACCACTATTAGTAAACAAAATGCAAATACAAACCTCAAGATTTTGGACTAATGCATCAAAATCAATTGAATCCAAATCATTCCCATCATCACCTCCATCGCGATAATTTTCCATTGATATAACAGTGCAGCCAATTACAGATGCTACCTTCTCTGCTAAGCTTTATGGATCATCAAGTGAATAAGACAAATTAGAAAGTGTCAACAGAAAAGTCTACACTTCATTTCCGCCCAAAATTTCTTCATGAGAAATTCAAAAAGTAATAAACAAAAAATTTATACAGCATAATTACCTTGTTTTGCCCGAACCACTAGGACCACCAATGCCAACAGTAACAACACCCTCTTTTTTCGCTCTAAGTTCTTGAATAGATTTTACTAACAAGTAATATCCATGATCAAAAGACTGCACCACCTCAACCCAAAAATTAATTAGGCCTCAACTAAAAATCTGATCCAAGTAGTACAACTAAAACTTTTTTGGTAGAAATCAACATTTCATTTCCAGAAAGTTCTCAATACTTACACGAAATAAACCCTCAATTATATCCAATCATTTGAAAATTCAATCTCATAAGACATGAACACATAAAATTAACATGAAAATCGATGACCACACTCAAATCAAGAAGTTAATTCTAACATTTATGTTCATAAAAATTACCGAATTGAGCAACATTTCCTCTCAAAGTCATTTAGGAACCGATTACACAGCAACCATTACTTTAACCATTTTCAACAGCAAAAACAGAACAAACTCAAAAGCATCATATATGTAATGAAATCAGAAGAGTAAAAAGTGTACCACATGGAGAGGGAGGGATTGAAGGATGGAGGAGGAGGACGAAGACGTGGAAGGCGGTTGTTGGAAATAATCGCGACCTCCTTCTTGGAAAACTCGCTGAACAACATCATCATCCATTTCTCCAACAAAGATCGCCAATGGAAACAACAGCTTCGGTTTTTTTTTTTTTCAGTTATTAATTATGTATTGTTTTCTTATTAGTTGCAGAGAGGAATCAATTGAATTGTGTAAAAGAAATTAAAGAATGGAAGAGAGAGAAAGAAAAGACGGTTTTCCTTTTGTTCCGTGCCTTTATTTGCTCCACTTTGCTTGCAAGTATACGCTGCTCCCGCTCGTTTTCCTTACTCTTCCTTCTCCTCTATTTCTCTTCATTTTTCTTTTTACTTCACATTTTCATTCTTTATTTATTTATTTATCCAACTTGTTTTTCTTTACAAAAAATTAATTATTAGTTAATAATAATTTATACTAATAGTAAATTGTTTTCTTTCCTGCTTCCTGTAAACCGTTGAAGTTATTTTTGGATGAACTTGTTGCTCGACTGCAGCGGTTTTTTTTTTTTTTTTTTTTTGGATGACTGTTTGCTGGTTTTTTTTTTTTTTTTCTATCGTAGGTTGATAACTTGATTTTTATGATCATTTATAATAAAAATGACAGTTAAAAAAAAAATTATTTTCATGACGTAATCTACAAAAGCAAAAAACATTTTTCATAAAAGTGAAATATATGAAATATTTAAAAATAATTTCTCCCATAAAATATGTGTAGTTTGATTTTTTACATGGATTATAGGGATGTTGTTTAGTTAGTAGTTTATTTCAAGATTTTAATATGTTTTAAGATATACAAACCAATACGGAGTATAAAATTGCTCAAATACATGAAAATTTAATATTTTTTTCTAACTGATCATGTATTTTAATTTATAAAAATATACTTATTAAACACTTAATTTATAAAATTATTTTTAAAATATCTTAATTTATAAAATTAGAATATTAAACACTTATTAAATATTTAAAAAAATATAACAATTAATGCTTTAAAAATTATAATAATCACACATCAAACCAGTAATTCATATATATAATATTAAAAAAAATCCTAAACTTTATTATTGATATTTGATAACATTATTATTATCATTAAATTTAGTTTGCAATTCTGCTAAAAAAAGGTAATTCCAATGAATGATTAATGCATGACAAGTGATTTTCTTGGTCAAATGGATAAGTGTGTGTATATATATTTTGTGAAAATATGGTTTTTATAAATTAATTTCTATGTACAAACAATTTTTTGTAATGTTTTGCCATTAATTTATTTGGACTGTAGATATTTGAATTTTTTAAAAAAAAAAAAAAGATGATTTGAAAGTTAGGAGATTTTAAATAATCAATAAATAAATTTAATCTGAACCTTCGTCAATTGTCCTGTATGCGTATTTTCGTATTTCATACTAACTATATTTCTATTCAAAATAAAATGCTAAGATACAGAGTTATGAAATAAAAGTTTTTATACAGATGTATACAGACTGAGTAGGTGTGGCAAAGCCCCAAAGGATTGTCAACGGTTAGCAAATCGTAGGTGGGAAGCAATAATATAATAGATTGAATTTTTAATTCTCATTCTAAAAAATTATTTTTGAAAATCTTGAAGAAATGTTTAAAGTATATGGGTGGCATATTGCATTAAAATTATGATGAAACGGTATATTATGTTCCTGTCTTATATGTGTTATATTTAAAAAAGAAAAAGATTTTGATACCAATATGTATTTAGGTAAATAAAACTAAGTGGTTTAGATTTTATCATTAATAAAAATATTACAATTAAGAAATATCATCTACTTCATCCAAGATAATAATGAAATTTATTAATTATATTTATTTTGACCTATTTTTACTAAACCAAACAAAGGATTGTATAAGATCAACTAAATATTAGGGTATGCATTCAGACAGTTTCATTAAGAGAATATCACTCAAAATTCATTAATTAATATTATCTCATAAAGTATTTAATACTAATTATGCAGATATTACTTAACAATTTCAATCAATTAAATCCAATTATATAATTTCTTAAAAAAAAAATCAAATTATATAAATATAATTATATAAATCAATACATTTAATTTAAAAATTTCAGCATTTATATTTTTTTACTGCAAATGTGGAAATTAAACCCGAAAAATTTTCAACTCCAACAATAGCTCCAACCAAATCAGCATCTAATAATTTCCGCACCTTTAGAGAAAGAAATTCTTATTCTGTGATCTTCAAGCCACTAGGTTCCAAAATTGCAGCTTTGGCTATAGAGTCAGCAACGGAATTTGTTTCTGGAAGCACATGAATAATTCTGCCCTGGCCATTAGTTGGCCATCAATTGTAAGAAAAAAACTTACATACACTGAATTTATGTCTAATTTTGTACTAAATTAATCAAATTAAGTATTCTTTAAAAAGTGTTTTAATTTTATTTATTATTTATATGTGTACCGTCAGAAATATCATTATTTTAATAAAAAATTTTAATTGTTTCAATAATAATTTTTAATTTTGAACCAGCTATACCTGCTTAAAAGACAGCATCTGAACCACAATCTGAGATTCCACACAATAATACTGAAAATGCAAATAATTGTACAAAGAATAACTCATCAATACTTCTGGCCTCTACAACAACAACAACAAAAATAATACACAAAATAGCAAGTGATTTTAGACAAACGAGATTACGATGTTATGTTCTTACTGCGAGTAATTTAAAGTTGGAGAAAGGGTTAGATTTTGTTTTTCCTGTAATAAATATTATTAAATATTATTTAAGAGAATCGGAATAAAATAAAAAATAATATTAGCTTGGAAAAGGAAGAACAACTGGTTCTTTAAAAAGAGCAATGGAATAATATTATCTGTTGTTGTTGAATACCAAAATTTGTATAATTAGTAAGATTTCATCTGAATTTATTTGTATCGTCAGACAAAATCCATAGGATTTATGAAAATGATTTGATGTTATGAGAGGCAATAAATGTTGCTTTATATTTTATCAACATTTACAAGATGTTGCCAGAATCTTAAGTTTAATTGTGACTACACCTTATCGTACTCTAACTTACCCCACCATCAGAGAAAATCATCATGCAATCCACCATTGCCAAGAAAAACTCCTCCCCGTCACTATATTAAAAAAAAAAAAAAAAACCATTGCCAAGAAAAAAATCCTTCCCCCGTCACTATATTAAAAAAAAAAAAAAAAAAAGCATACCAACTAACTCGAATAAAAATTCAACATAACCTGTTAAATGAGTCTATTTATTATAAAAATTATTTACTTTATAGTTCTATTGCTAGAAAAAATCATGGGATTATATATACAGAAGTTCAGAGTTCACGGTTAATGTTTGAATTATGGCATCACCGGCCAGTTTGATTCAAAAATTAAAATTAATATTTGGGTGAAAATCAAAATCGAAAAGTGAACTACAATGTTGCTACCAACGAAACCAAAAATGATAAATTTATGAATAGATTTAGGATTAACAATAATGCGAAAAAATATCTTTAAACTAGCTCAGGAATTAACGGTTTTTGATCCGGTTCACATTCACTTTTAAAAATTTTTTAAATCGTCATCTCTAATGGGATATTAAATCATATCTCATCCCTTGTTAATATGATTTTTAATTTCCCAGCGAAGTGGTCTAAATAATGGAAAAATCATTATATATTTAAATTAAAATTGATTCAATTTTCTATACCATTGGGCCTTTATATCTCGGTGCGTGACATTTACGTAAATATTTGAATTTGAATTTATTGTGAGATATGAACATTGCATTCTTTTTTCTCAGTTGACTTAAAGTACAAAGTGAAGAAAACCTTCGACGCCAATTTAGAACCAATAATTGGAATATTTACATTAATATTCCATTTCTCCTGAAGATGAATGATGATTTAATGTGCATAATGCGAAAAGATGATTACTTCCACTTCTTTACTATTCTCTCTAATTGATATATGCTGAAAAGTCAAACGGCTTTCTCTCGCCCACTACTTTTGGTTCTCAAATTTTGTCAGTTTAGTGCTTTTTCTCTCTAATTTATTCTCCGCGTTCAATCATTGACTCGATTACCTTCTTCAAGTACTTGCTATGTGCCTATCGTGCGCACGCACTCTTTCCCTGGGTTATTACAGAATCAGCGCAACCTCACCAACTTATCATTGCGATATCACGCTTCCTTTCAATCCCCATTTGATCACGTGATCGTCACTTAATCTAATTTTGAATTAAGCTCCAATTTGAGAAAAAAAAAAAATGATTAAATATTTTTCATTAATAATTCAAAGGTGTATCTTTTGTTTTTTGGAGATCCAAAGTTTATTTATTGATTTTGTTCTTTGATTTCTTATTTATTAAGAATCATTTCTTAGGAATAATATTATTTTCGCAATTATTGAATCTATATTTAAATTAAATTTATTAATAAAAAAATATTAAATCACGAAAATTAAATAATAAAATCATAGACAAATTTACCACCCATTAAAAAAAAACTGGTATATTAAAAATGTGTGTTAATGTATCTTGCTTTCCAGGGAATTGAATCATGGGACTTAGGGGGGGCGTTAAATTTAACAAGGTGCCAATCATAAACAAAAACTAAGGATTCCAGGATCAGGTTGAGAAAGCGGCACCATAAGAATATAAAGAAATCTCTCTCTTTTTT